CGGTCCTTAAGTATGCGCTGATGGGAACTTGCTGATTTAAATAGTCAGACCAATCCATGTGATTCCTGTTCCAGGTCGCAGCTCCAACAATTTGTGGCAGGATTGTATACTTTCCAGTTTGAGGGGTGTTACAGCTCCTCGTTACGCCTGGCATGCATAACTGGTCGAATTGTGTAATCTTTTCGTGCACGCCCTTTGGCTGCGCACCTACATCCGACCCGTTCGCTATGCCCGCCTCGACCGAGCCCATGGGCAACGACGAACCGTCCCCAACGGTCCCGCTTGGTGTGGGTGGCCTGGCGACGGGGATCGACGTTGCCTCGGCTACCCGCTTGTCTAGCACCTCAATGGCATGCGTGATCCTGGCGAGTGCTCTCTCCATGGTGGCCATGTCCCGCGCATGCTAATTTTCTATTCTGGTTATGCATTTGTGAATGCTTTCGCTATCGGTTTGCTGCGCTTCAACTGCAGCGCCGAGGTTGCCGAGGACCTGCGTTGCTTCGCGCAAGCCCTGGCGGGCGATTTTTGCTCAGCTGCTTTGCTCGCTGTGCTCACCATTGCTTGTACCTGTGCATTTTCACTTTCTTTATGCATTTCCAATATTGCGAGACGTTTGCTTACTATGGCGATGTCCTCCTGAGTCCGCGCAATCCGCTCGCTGTCGATGGCGCTGGCCAGTTTGGCCTCATCTTCGAGCCGCTGGTTGGTCGCTGAAAAATGTGCCTCAATCTCCGTCAGCCGTTTTCCCATTGCCTCCATTCTCCGGTCCATTTCTGTGTTGATCCACTACTCTGCCTATCGCCAATCGCCCTGCACTGCAGCCTGTAGCCGTCCAAACTCTTGCGCTTGATTCTCTGCTCGTTGGCGTACTGCCTCTAGACCAGCGCCGATCACAGAAATGGCGCCTTCCTGAGTAGCCATTCTGCCGGCCAACCCTCCTGCAAGGCCAGCAGCTCCCGGCCTTGATGCTGTTGCAAGGCCGCCACTTGATTCGCCAAAGTCGCCCGCAACTCGACCGTTAGTGCCTCACCCATTCCACGGAGGGCGCTATCCGTCTGGTTCTCCACCCGCTGGCTCCATTCTGCAATTGCCAACAAAGTTGCGCGGCATGCAGCTGCCGCGGCCACACTTCCCACTTTGCGTAGGCTATGCAAAGTCTTCGGTCGATTGGCCTCCTCACCGACCTGAATCGCCGACCCACCGGGGCATGCCCCGTTGACTTCCATAGGCGTCAGGCCACCGCCATAAGGCACCACTGCCCACACCAATTCGTCCTCCGCATTCCCCTACCCACGGCTTGAATCCCCACCGGCCATCCTCCCGGTCGGTGTGCCGTTTCCCAGCGCAGGGACGCTCCCTTGCTCCGAAACCAGTTGGTGCGGGCGCGCTTGAGTCAACGAGAGAGAGGGAGGAGTGACTCCCCTGCATGTGATTGTTAAATATATGATGATAATATGATCATGCATTGTTTGATTTATTGTTCATTCTGTATCATGGACTCCTGGACGATTATGTATAAAAAAGTTGGGGGTGTGAAGTGTAGCCGCCCCCGGTCTGTAATAATTCTTGACCTTGTGACTGGTGCACCAAGCAAGTTGCCTGACGTGTCGAGTGTGGGACCTGAAGGTTAGGCGAGTGGACTTCCTTCGGGGAGGAAACTCTGCATCTGTTGCGGCCCATCGGCAGCCGCTGGTTTCCGGAGGCTCTGTGGTCGCCCTACCCTGCAGCATAGCCGTTGGAGGTCGGCTGGCCTCTCCACCTCGGATGGTGAGCGTTTCCGGGGCAGACGTATCGGCGGTCGCGCGGTGGGCCCAATGCTCAACGGGGATCAATCCCCGGGGCCTGCTGTCGGCAAGAGGTGGTGGCACAGCGGTGTGGCGGTTCGCTGGCTCGTGGGAGACCAGAGAGTGGGCCAGAACGGTTACAACGATTCACTGCATGCGCGCGCACATATCGCATGCGCGATACCCGATCGCGGGTCCATCGCGGTCACATCAAGACAAGATAACACAAGTGCGCATTCAGGCACATCGTCACCATCCACCGTTCACCTAAATCAGCTCCGCATAATCCTCGATGTTTCTATCTACCGGTCCGAATCCCATGCTAAAGTACTGCAACTTCAACTGACCATAACTTCGCCGTTTCTACACGGAATTGGACGTTTCAAGGTGCTATTGGCATCAGGAGCTCTTGAATAAGCTGATTTTAACGTATTTGCACTTTTTCGACCAACCGCCGCTTCAGAAATGCCAATTTTAGCCTAACCCCAAGTAACCACGTCACAACATCTATGTGAGGGGAACGTTACCCCTATGTATGTTTTTTACCGTTCCTGGATTTGTTGCTTGCGCATATCTCTTTTTGCTACACATACCCCAGAGGGTCGTACCATGTACCGGCACAGATCTTTGCAATAGTCAATAGAGTGCATGAGATTCGAGAGAATTTGGAACGTGCGTTGTGCAAAATTATACATATGAAAAAGGTATGACATGGGCATCGAAATGTCTTATTGTGTGTTTCCTAGACCGTTTGGCCCAACCGTAAAGAATACACTTGAACACTAAGAGCATCTTTATTGGTGGGTGCTATTGCCCCGGCAGAGCTATTCGGCTATCTGAATTGCAACGCACGTCAAAAAACCATCATTAATGGTTGGTGAGTAATAGCACCTCAATAACACCCCCGGAGCTACTTGGCGCCGAGCGTCGCTATTTTGGCCCCGGATAACACCGCTTGGGGCTGAATAGCACCTCAGAATAGCACCGGTGCTATTCGCGCAAAACATTGTAGTGCTGCCGTGATGCTATTCGACGCAGGCATAGCACCCACCATTGCGGATGCGTGCAGGGGAGCAATAGCACCGGTGCTATTCGGCAAATGCCGCCTTAGTAAAGTGGCACGGAAGCCAATGAGAACCGTTCCTGGATAGCTCCCTCGGTGCAATAGCACCGACCGATGAAGATGCTCTAAGTCCTGAGTGGAGATTTAGTGCGTTTCGGCACCTGATCTATGACTAAACAAAACGCCGTGTGCAACACGGATACCGCATGCGGCTGATCCACCACGTCCAAGCATGCCGCCTGGCAGTCGCCGCAGCGCTTGCTTTGCCCCACGCGGCCGAGGGAGCAAGGTGCCAGACATCCAGCTCAAGCTGCCCTTCCCCTCGCGGTATGCCGACAGCGCCAGCCGCTGGACACCCAGGGGCCTTAGAATTCCAAACCGTGGAGGCAGCGTCGCGGCGAGGAAACACAGTACTCCTTGGTCGTGGAGTGGCTGCGTCGGATCCGGGATCCAGCGAGACCCGTGCGAGGTTGGCGGATTGCCTCCAGGTAGTGTCGCTGCTAGAGGCGGAAGACTAGAACACCTAATGGGAAACGCGACATCTGTGGACGCCGTCAGCAGGCCCATGCTCAAGAAGGGTAGCGAAAGCCCGTTCGCCTCTCCAGCGGATCAGCTTCCGCGGAAGCTGTTCAGCTTCAAAGCCTTCGCAAGGGCTCGTGGAGCGCGGGGGCCTGTTTCGCAGCATTTTCGCTGCCGACGATCCGTTCCTTGTCTGCAGCTCTCGCCGTGTTGGCGTTCAAAGGCGACAGCGCGCGGCTCTCTTCGGCCGCGTTTGGTGGGCGATGCCGATCCTCCGAGGGCCGGTGGCTTTCTGTTCCAGACACAGGATACTCCATCTCCAAACTTGGTCTTGGGCCCCAGCCAGGGCTACCTGTGAGCGCACTTAGTTGTCCTGATCGGCTGCTGGTCAACGTACCGGCGGCCACAGCAACACACGGATCCCGACACGCGCACTTCCACATTGCCGCGGCGACACCCCACTGGCTTGCCCTTGTCCCTGACGGATTGATTTGTAAATGAACGGGGTTCTGCCGCGGCTGGTGGGTGTAAGGTGGCCGCGGATGGGGCCTCGACGTCCACGCCACGGTCTTGGAGCATCAGTAGGCTGTCGCGGACCACGGATTTCCTTGGTCGTCGGATGGCGGGCGCGCCCACAGCCCAACTGGGTTCGTCGGAAGCAAACCGAAGCTGTGCTCGCGGCTGTGCAGCAAGCGATGCGTGTGTTGCTCGCCAGCACACCCCCATTGGGAGGGGAGGCTTTGCAGAGCCGTCGCCGTCGTACCCGACCGCTCTGCAGTTGCTCCTGCGCCCACACTGCTGGGCGCCGTTGGGCTCTGCCACGTTTATGCCAATATGATCAATGCATGCGGAGCGCGCCGCAACTCTTTGCACTCGGGTCCCTTGGCTGAACGTCACCAGGGTTCGCTTCGAGTTTGCGGGCCTGCGGTCACCCCTGCCACCGCAGCCAAATCCGACAGCCGAGAGCGGTCGAGCCGTGACGGATTGCGATTTGGGACTCATCCTTCATGGACAGTCGCCAACTAACGCCCTGTTGGAAGAGAATGCGGCTGATGCACCGCTTTGTACAGTTGACGGCATTGGACCGGGTGCAGTGGCGAAAATACTGCGGTTGCATTTCCTGAAATGTGCATGCACATGAAAATAAGCATACATGCATGGGTCCGTGCAAGCGAACCACCGCCTATTTGGTTGGGACAACTTTCTTGATTCTACGTAGAATCTCCGGCATGCCTTGGAACATCTAAGAATATGGGTATCCTCTTCGAATTTGCGACTTCAATATTGCCACAATTGAAGATGACAATGGTTGTTGATCACCAAAGCATTTTCGCGCTTGCACCTCCTTATATGTGGGTATGTTACAAAGAAAACATGCACAAAAACACACATCTTACTCTTTAGTTGGCAAAAATATTTCATCTTTCGCTCTAAAACGCCTGCGAACATGCCGAAATTTTGCAAATTTACCTTGAACTTCCCAGAACTGAACATGATCATGCTCTGTGCAAATTGCGTCGCAGAGCGATTCTGCAGAGAAGCACTCCATCGGGCACAACTGCCGTTCCACCAGTGTTTCCGCTGACGGAGCCATGGAGGGCACACGTGTGCTTCAGAAGGCGTATTCGAGTCTGATGTTCCGATTCGTGGACTTGCTAAATGACATGGGGGAGGCGGAGGCCTTCGTCATTGACGGCGATTCTCTGCTGCACGAGCTGCTTAAGTGTCCACGAATGCGGTCGGCGGGGAGGCTTGGGCCGCCGCTGCTTCCTATTGTTTACGGCTTCGAAGATTTTCTGAAGAGGACGGAAGATTGCGGGGGTTCATTCAAAATCGCGTTCTTCAGGTGGGAAGACTGCAACCTCACTTTCAGAGTTCCGTAAAGGAGGTACCATTGACAATAATTGATGCCATCGCACCTGCCTTTGTATGTTTGAAATCGTGCAATGGCTCGACTTTGTTTAAAATGACATCGCATTTGGCATTTCAAGGAGGCGTTTCTCATACTGTGATCGTGACTTCTGCAAGGAATACATTGCCCAGGCTTGTGCAAGAGAAACTACAAAACTGCGAAACTTCAAAACAGCAAAATTGCTCGTTCAGCGCATGCTCAACCTTGCTTGCACATGTGCAAGCAAGGTTGAGCATGCTCTGCACAAATAGTTCCGAAGTTTTGTTTTGCCAAGAATTTAGATTGGTATTCTTACCCACACTCGTGTGGATGTGCCGCTTCTATATAATATGGAATCACACAGCATCTGCTGCACAGTAGAATTACCACAAAATGTGCGCAAGCTGCAGCACACTTGCTGTTTGCTGTTCATTGTACGTGAAGTGTAACATTTTGGCAGGTCCATAATGCATAATGTATGCCGCACTGCACCTTCAGTGCATGTTGCATTGTGCGGCAATATTGCACACGACCGCCACTGGTATGCACTTGTATAGGCCATCAGTAGGCAATATACAATATTGTGCAATATTGTACATTCACGGGTCCCGATTTTCAGAAAAACTTGCCACATGTAAAAATCTGTATCATTTGACCTACTTAGTGGCACTATTGCACCAGACAAAATTTTAAATGACAGGTTGAAAATGCGTTTCAAAGGCTGTCCAATGAGCGACAAGTGCTCCGCCTACATGCGATGCGCAATGCACCCCTATGCCATGCCGTGCCAGATTCTCGACCAATATGGCCTGCCGCCTGCGCCCATTTGATCGCGCAGCGCCCGTGAAGAACAAGCCTACAATGCCTCCTGGTCTTCCAATTCCCATTATGTCATTTTTGCCAAGTATTTGAATCTGAAACTGGTAACTTTCAGAGCAATCAAATTCGGCTTTGGCACCACGCAGGTGCAACGAGGTGCTGTGGATGCAACAGCCCGGCATGCTGGCTGTTCGCCGGCTGCTGTTGCCCCACCTCATACTCAACACCACAGTGGAGGTGCTAGAGTTCGAGTCGTGGTGGGGAGGCGCGTGGGGAGCGTTCCTTGCGGACGAAATGCCCGCGTTTGTCATGATGAGCGGCGGCGGCGACCTGTGCGCAGACAGGGGCATCTTCCTGGCCATGCTCGGCAGCCTGATGGTGCATGGGCAGCACGTGGCTTTCCTTGGCGAAGCGCAGCACTACAACGGCAACCTGCAGGCATTCCTGGTGCGCGCCGACCTGGGCTTCAGACGCCTCAGGTGCGAGGACCCAGACATCAGGTCCAAGTTGTGGCGCGAGGTGCGGGCTGTGGGCCAGGGGGCCCAGGAAGCTCTGAGCCACCTGCAGCCCCACGAGCCTGGGCTCCGCGAATTTGTTCAAAGGGCGTTGGCGGATGCGGGACGTGTGGAACGAGGCCCAGGGGCGATGGGGGCCGTCGGGTTGGCAGCATCTTTTTGGTCTATGGGGTTTCGGAGTGCTGTCGCAGTGTGGTGCTGCGCACAGGTGCTGCGGCAGACGGGATGCGGGGACAGCGACAGGCTGGTGGCAGCGTCGTGGCTGGCTCGCGCGTTCATCCTGCACGCCGTGTTGATCGAGCACTTGGCTCTGGAGCAGCGGGCGCTGCGGGCCCCGAGGCTTGCCGGCGGAGGAGCCCACCTTATCGAAGGCTTTCTGGAGGACGTTTGCAGATGGATAGCGCGAGGCGTCGGTGAGGCAGTCAGGTGGAGGGAGGGTGGCGAGGGAGACACTGGTGCCCGGAGACTGCTTGCAGAAAAGTGGCGATGCAAATTGGAGTTTTGTGACGCCTACGATGGCCTCCTGTTCGGCGCATGCTGCGTGGCTTTGGCGCAAAGTTGTGGCACCCAGGGCTTGTCGAAAGACGTCAGGAACGAATTCGCAAGAGGAGAGTCGTGCCTGGTCTATCTTCTGGGGGATGACCCGGTGAGACATTCGGTGGAAGCTGGAAGCCTGGGCGTCGTCCCTCATGCAATTGCGCAGGCTGTCTGTGGTTGCTGCCGCGCCGCAGATGCCGTTACTTTGTCAGGCCCATCGACAGCGCTCCGTGAACAACGTGCTCGCCATTGCGAGGAGGAAACTGCGCCCATATCGCGACACCCCCTCGTCTCTGGCTTCCTGGGGAGAGACTGCGATTTGCCGCTGCAGATGGACAGGACGGAATTCGCAGCCGCGGCACCGGAGACCCACCACTGGCACGTCATGCGGCCGCTGGAGCCAACCTTCCTCAAGCAGGCAGGGAAAGAACAGTTGGAGGTCATTGCAAGGGCCTGCTCTCACGGCATTGGAAGCCTTGTGGAAGAATCGTCAACAATACTTCCTGATTATATGAAGGCAAAGCTGAGGGTTACAATGGGGGGGGCCAATGGTCGGGAAAGAGCTACCCAGCAACTCAAGCAATGGATCCACCGAAAACAGCAGATACATTTTCGGTAAAACGCCGCACAGTAGCAACAACGGTGTTGACTTTTGTTTGGCTATTCAGCAGTTTTGATGCTGTCCTGTACTAGGCGCATTAATGTGTCTGCAGAACAAGCTCGCTTTGCGCTGGAATCGAGTTTCCAGGAAATTGTTTGAAGGCAGCATGTTCTCCACGTTTGTTTTTCTGGTTGCACTCGGCAGATCAATGCAGCGGCTGAAATGCAGGGCCATTGTGCACAATCGTCTTGTATTTCAGCAAGTGCGTTTACATGCCAATTTCAACCACGTGGACAATACGGCGTCCTGTGAATGCCAATGCAGGTTCAGATTGTTCTCTTTACTGCTGGGCGCTGTTTCACACCTGATTATTAAAAGCTGGATAATTGCGCAAGCACACCTGCATCAAATTGTTGTTTTTCAGTATTCCAATGACGTTGAACAAATTCTTACACCGTGGATTTGGTCACTGAACTTGCCAGGCGCACTGCAACTCATTCTCCTTATGCATTTCTGCTTTGTGGCACCAGTTTCATGGAGAGGGCAGCCTCTTCACTGAGCGGCACAAAGTTCCGCAACAGAACTATTCTGCGCAGCAAACAAGACAAGGGGACAAAAGTGGTCCCAGCTAAAAAAGTGGGCAGCAAGGCCCAAGCCATCATCAACGCCAACAACGCGAGGCTGCGCGCCAAGGAGACAGCTCGAGATGGGGAGGCTTGGCAGGTGGTGGAAGCTGACATAGAGCGGTGCAGCGATCAGCATGTCCGCGTGAAAATGGTGGACGACTTTCTTAAGACCTGCCAGGCTGACATTGTGAGGGTGGCAGCCCTTGTGCTGCAATTGCAAATGTGTGTCAAGGGTTGGAAAGACGCTGTGAGGCAAGGGCGTGCGCTTGACGGAAGGGTAGCAGATCTCTGCAAAGCCGGCGCCCACGTCGGGCACGTGACAAAGGCCTGTGACATAATTGCAGTGCTGACGCGGAGTTACTGCGGAGTACTGCAGCAGCCCAGCCCTTATCTTGACAAGATGCAGACTCCTGGGAAAGCCATCGCAATGGCACTCAAGACTTTTGGATTCGAGGACGCCTTGGGGCTTGTCCATTCCACAGAAAGTACACTGGGAGAGGCCAAACATGCCAAGCCAGGAGGACGAAGGGGGTCCTTACGTAAAGGGAATGCAAGTGCCGAAACACAGGAAGATGGGCGCTACTCATTGGGGGTCAGCTTCGCCAGGTTTCAGTTGAAGTACATGGGGCACTTACTTCAGAGAGAGCTTCCCCCCGACCAAGATTCCAGGGTTGAATCCTTCAACCCCGACTTGTGGCAGCGCGCCCTGCTGGACGCCGTGGATGCTGGTTCCTCCGCTCTCGTGTGTGCCCCAACGTCATCAGGGAAAACGTTCATATCTTCGTACGTGATTCAGAAGGTGATAACCACGAGCGACGAGGGCATCGTGGTGGTGGTGCTGCCAACAAAGGCTTTGGTCAACCAGTTGGCTGCTCAGATCTACAAGGATTATGGAAACATATATGGAGTGTTCACACGGGACTACAGGCACAAGCTCTGGACTTGCAGAGTCTTGATTACTGTGCCAGCGTGCCTCGAAATCTTGATGCTCTCCCCCAACTGTAGAGCATGGACGACACGCATTCAGTACGTGATTCTTGATGAGATACATTTCATCAACGATCTCGCCGGCGGGGAAGTTTGGGAACATATTCTTGTGTTCCTTAGGTGCCCGTTCATCGCCCTTTCAGCCACTGTGGGCAACCCTGGGCAGTTCCATGATTGGCTCCAGTCAGTGAAGCAGCTGCAGAAGAAGCAAGATGAAGATATGGGCGCCGCTCAACCAGATTCCACCTACAGAGTGGAAAAAATCTGTCACAATGAGAGGTTCAACGACCTCCAGCATTGTGTGTACATTCCAATAGCCCCAGGGGCAAACACCTCCGAAGGTGCCCTTTGCAAGGAAGGGTCTTCTGGAGCGCAGGGCGCAGCCCATGTGCACGAACAGGAGGCATGGAGGGGTCCTGTGTGGACCATGGACAAGCAAGGCAGAGGTGGGGCGCGTTCTGAAATCTTAGAGCTGCATCCTGTGGCCTCCCTGGACAAGAAGACATTGAGGGCGCAGGGGTTTCCCGAAGGATTGTCCCTGCAGCCGCACGAGGCTCTTGGACTCTTGGATGCCATGACATCGGTACTGCTTAATCATGAAGATGGCAGTCAAGATGGGAGTCTAATCAGACCGAAACAGCGGCTTGGAGAATTAGAGCCAGAGACCTTCCTGGCAGGCGACTCGATTCTTGTTACCAAGCAACAGGCCCGGAGATTTGAAAGATGCGTGAAGGAAGAGTTTCTGTCCTGGATCAAGGCAGACGACTCCAGGTTGGACATGGCCTGGGATGTAATAGAAAGACTGTCTGCACCAGTTCAAAGGAAAATGGATGCGGTTGAAAAATCTGGTGCAGATGGTCATGCATTCTTGGTCCAGAGCATCATGCCCCTCCTCACAGAACTCGCCCGGAGGCAACTCCTGCCGACAATAATCTTCAATTTTGAGAGGAGTATGTGTGTAGAAATCGCAACAGCAATAGTCACGCAGCTGGAACACGAGGAGGAGGTCCACAGAGAAAGGTATCGCCAAAGGTTAGAGACTGAAAGAAAAGAGCGGAAATTGCAAAAGGAGGCGCAGCAGGCTCAGAGGGCTCGCATGGCCCGGGCGAAGAAACTGTCTGAGGATGACAGGGAGGCCATGGCGGCAGATCTGCGATCAGGTCAGACTGGGCAGGACATTGTCATCGATGGCGTCTGCTTCAGCGAGGACCCGACTCTCCCAGACCCCTCATTCACATTTGTATACCCTGAAAGCAGGCTTACAGCTGATGAACTTGATGACATTATTCATTACATGGGAAGGGATTTTGCCCAGGGCAACCCACTTCTCAAGGCTCTCCACCGTGGTGTGGGCATCCACCATGCGGGCCTCCCCAAGAAGTACAGGCAGGCGGTGGAGGTTCTCTTCCGCTGCCGCCACCTCAGGGTAGTGGTGGCCACAGGCACGTTGGCCTATGGCATACACATGCCGTGCCGGACAGTGGTGCTGAGTGGCGACAGTGTGTTTCTGAATGCGCTCAACTTCCAACAGATGGGCGGACGCGCAGGGCGCAGGGGGTTGGATGACATGGGCCATGTCGTTTTCTACGGCACCCCTTCGCACAAGATCCACAGGGTCAGGAGGTCTGCTTTGCCAAATATGAAGGGCCAGTACCCATTGTCCGTGTCCCTTACCCTCAGACTCCTGGTGCTGCACCGTGAGCTTGGGGTGCCCTTGACTGCAGGAACGCTGGCAGGGAAACGAGCTGGGGACAAGGAAATGGCCACGGCCTCGATGCTGGGCCTGCTGCAAAGCCCATTCTTCGCACATGTACAACCACATCTGGGCCAGCAGCTGCAACACACATTCCGGTTTGGCCTCCAGTACCTGCAAAATCATGGGTTGATCAATTCTGCAGGGGAGCCCACCGGCCTGGCGCCCTTGGCCACCCACCTGTTCTGGACAGAACCTTCCAACTTTGCTTTCTGCTGCTTGCTCAATGCTGGTATTCTGGACGAGATCTGCGAAAGGTGAGGGCTGCCTACATTGCTGTCTAGTTTGCTGGGACACTTCTCTGCAATTTTGCGCTGGGGAAAGGTGTTTCTTGTGTGAATGCCCTACTCTGCCGATGTGTAATCGCTATCATCGTCCAGTGTGGAGCATACCTTCACACATAACGTAGCGCAGGGAGGCGGCCATCATCCCATTTCTCCCTTCATATATCAGTCAACCACCACCACCATGCTTGTGGCTTTCTTGTTTTAAGGTCCTCATTTTTCGCAATTCGCAGATTTCCATGCCACGTCCCAGGGGCCGCAAGAACACTTTCCCAGAGGTGGGGTTGCTCTTTTGAAATCAATCTCCACCTCCTGAATTGACCCAGCTTGTGCCAAATCGCGACAGGTGCGGCGGCGACTGGCCGATCCTCGTGGAGGAGCTGCTGGTCGTGCTGGCCCATCTCTTCTGCGTCGTGCCCCTCCGGCTGGCCGCTCCCGACGTGCCCGCCCTGCAGCGCGCCCTCCGCGGCGCCTCACCCTCCAAGGTTGTCCTGCCCCCCATGCCCCACCGCGCCCGCCTCGCCCTGGAGGCCCACGACAAGGCCGCCTTCCGCTCTCTCAGGCAGTGCATCCAATCCTACGCCGACGCCCATCCCGAAATAGGAGGCGATGAGAGACCCCATTCGCTGCCCCTGTCCGGCGTGACTGTCTCCAGATCGCCAAGGAGCACCGCTGATCGCATCCCAAAGCCGTGGATGGCTCTGGAGGCGGCCAGGATCCATTTCTCGGCCTGTTCCCCCTTTGCGGCGCTCTGCGGCGCTGGCGACGACTTTCAGAATCTGGGAGAGCTGATGCGGTGGACGTCGCGGCGCATCGTGGTGCACCCGACGTCGCTGCCGCTGTCCCGCACGCCGGTGGACTTCCGCGGCCTGCCCGTGGCGATCAACGCCTACGCGCTGGACTACTTCAAGCACCGGCAGAAGCAGGCGCTGGTGCGGGCCAACGGCCTCATGGAGGGCACCGCGTGGGAGCAGTTGAAGCAGTTCTCTAGCGTCCTGTCGGCCATTTCCGTGGCGTTGTCGGCCGGGCAGGTCGGCGGTGGTGCGGTGAGCCAGGTGGCGCGAGCCATGGACCGCCTCAGCAGGGAGTTCAGAGAGGCGTTTGAGGCGTTCAACAGCCCCCACTCCAACGGTGGCCACGGGGCCTAGCTGCTGATGCGAATGTGGCGTTTTGTGGAGGTTGGTACTTTTCATCGATACATCTGCATGGTCTAATCATAGTCTTTGAGTCCTTATCCGTACGGTAGTTGTATCCGCAATAGATGAATGGGAAGACGTGTGATGCCCAGGCGTGATTGGAACTGACGAGATGGAACTGTGGAGATGTGCCGGGTGTTTGCTCACGATGACCTGCCATTGTGGAGATGTGCCGGACGATTGCTGACGATGACCTGCCGCTTGTGGAGTTGTGCCGGAAGATTACATGACGTGATGTGCCATTTGAAGGCGTGCAGTATCCTTGAAGATGACCAGATGACGTGCCGCAGCTTTGAAGACAGCCAGAGCACATGCCGTGGCCTTGACAATGCACGTGAGGATTGTACCTGACGATGAGGCTTGATGAGCGGCCGTACCCCCTTTCGATGACCAGTTGCGCCCCTTTCAATGAGATGCATGGGGAGGGGGGCGCTGCGACGCACGTGGCCTGGCCGTCACCACGAGGCGACGACGATTACCCTGATGACCTGATGGCTACCATTGTGGCGGTGGCCGTCACCGTGGGGCAGCAACAGCTACGTGGGGTGGCGCCAGCGGGTACCCTGACGCGGCGTGGCGGCGCAGGACTTGGCATGGTAGGTTAACGGGCTCGGCGACGACGGATGACGATGTGGGCAACCGTAGGGGCCCTTATTGTAGAGGCTGAAATGGCTCAAGTGTCAGAGTACTGGAACCCGAGTGGCGCGGGTAAACGTTTTGGCACGTGGGCATGCAGGTTTGGTACAGTGCTTGGTGACTTGCTTGGCGGGTAACGTTGCTAGGGTAGCGGAATGTGGTATGTTTGAACATGCTAGGTACGGCACGCCGTTGTCCGGGCATAGAGTACCAGGGGAAACGGTGATCGTTGATGTGACGGAGCTGAGTGCATAGGTAAGTGCGCGGAGACGTTCGGTGCCGCGGCACTCAGCGGGAACAGGTGTGTGAGACGTGTGAGGTACTGCCTGTTGGAGGTTTCCTGGCAGCGGTACCCTGTTGGGAAAGGGAACCCACGCTGGTAGTGTAAATGGACGCATGGCTTCGCTTGTAACGAACGCAGGTTTTGGGGCCATCCTGGCCTTCCTCCGTACACACTCGGGGGTTGTGCCCCACTGGGTGGTTGCCATGCCGTGTTGAAGTCGCCTATAGAAGGCGCACCGTCACCACCGAGCCCAGCTCGATTGGGTGATCGTTTGGATTCGTGTGTGACTCGTCTTTGACTGGAACCCACACGAATGGGTCAATCCCTGATGAAGGCAGGCAGAGCGGAGGGGTGGGGACCCCTGACCGGGGACCGTAGGCTTGAGTCCACTGTAACGGATTACAGCGGAGCAAAGGGACAACAGGAGTTCTGTCCCTTGCCTGGATGGTCCGTTCGTCAATGTCCCTATTGCAATTCCTAATGCCCCATCACCTCTTTCCACGTCCAGCTGCTAATGACACTCGAACAGTTCTAGTTGCAATTGCAACATCGCCAGGCCACTCCAGCAGTTTTGAGAATGAGATAGTGAACAATCGAAACGTGCTTTTCTTGGGACATTTAACTGCTGATAAAATAATTTAGATTTGAAAATGCTAGTTAGCGTGAGTTAAAGCATTATCCGGATAATGGCCGGCGGCCATTCATCACGCGAGACTTCCTGTGTTGGTGTCAGGATTGGCTTTATGCGATTGGATATTATTGGATGTATCAATACGGCTTGGTGGTGGGAGTGGTTCATCGTGAACAATGTCACCAATTGGTAATTCGAAATTCGAGCGGGCGGTAAGGCGCTCGTCACACGCGACCGTGTATCTGCCGGCAAAGTGAGAAATTAGGAAAATTCTGTGCTGCGCCACGCTGTCGGCCATCTCCCAGGGAAAGACAGCTAGAGTTATCCTTCCTGAGCAAACAAATTCCACAGGCTAACTTGCTGGTGATTTCTGGCCCTCACAGACCCAGCTTAACGATAGCAACAATATCATTCTACAGTGTGGAGTAGTGGATACAATTGTTTGTGGCATCGGCCTCGGTTGTACACAAGCAAACCAATGACACATGAGTGCCCGCTATTGTCCACGATGTGAACGCCCCACTCTCTCTTCCAATCACATGATTGGAAAATTGTTAAAGTCTAAGACAATGCTAGACACATCCTCCCATTGAGCGCCAACCAGACTGACATTCATTGAGAAAGGTTGCTTGCCCGCCAGGTGCCACAAATTGGCTGGGTTGCGAGAACGTTGCAGTGGAACTTGGCATGCAAGCGAGGCGAACCAAGCGAGAGTGCGGCGAGTTCCAAACCCGACCATTCGAGCCCAATGCAGCCTTGCCTGGGAATTAAATATAACAAAAATATAATGAAAATATATAATTCCTCGAAACCCTGCAACAAATCAAACCTCGCCAAAAAATACTGCAGAATTGGTCGGCACACTGAAATTCTGGCCGCGCACGAAATGTGAACCGACCACACAAGGCAGCCCAGCAATTGCTGAATGATTTGCAGCAAACAGGCCTTGTTTGCTGGAATCGAGTCCATCTACTATCGTTGCGATCAGCGGTCCCCTAGCCGATTCGGAAGCAAGCTTGCTTCGCATGTGCAAAAGTGTTGTCTACTCACACGGCGGGTCTTCCCCATCCAACGAATTCAGCAGACTTCCAGAGCTGCTGAGGGCTCGCGCAACATGCTGCGTCAAATCTCAATTGTGTGCGATCAGCCGCGGCTGGGATGTCCTCCAGCATCTGGTGCTCCAATTGGGTCCCGCCTCGGCCGGCCCACACCCGCCCTTGAGGGCTGGCTCACCTCGAACGGATTTCGAGTATGAAACTCGAGTGGCAGCGGGTACAAACAGCACGTCTACTATTTGCTCAATTGAGCACGGCCATCGACAACTTTTGAATGAATTCAAGCTATGTTGCACTGCTTTTGCCTCCCCTCCATTTTCTGTTCGTAGTCTTACCCGTGAAAACCCACGTACTCCACCTGCTGCCCATTTAACCTCCGCCTTTTCTTCACAAATTTTCCCACGAATCCATCCGACTATGCACTGCTCACCTGTAGCATCTTTTTCCCCTTCAATTCCCCTATCAAAACAGATTGCACACCATCCACATACTGCTACCGTCTACGGTAGCACCGACGTCGGTGCTCATCCTCGTGTCATCGCAGGTCTCGCTCCCTAATTTACATGATTACCATTAAAACATTCAATGCCTTCATCTCAATGAGACACTCTTACTATTATCTGCTATTTTCAATGTTAAAAAGTAGGTACTTGTTCAAGTTGCCTGTTCAATACATTACAAGATTAATGGCAGTTTAAAAGCGTCCACATAGCGAGCACTGCACAAACACGGCGACAAAAGCATGACCTCAAGGATGTCTTAACTAGCGCATATACCTGAAATAGTTTATAGGTTAACGGGCAGGTTTTCAAATAGAAATTGTTTCAATTGATCAGTGCTGTTAAACTAACGGAAAGGAGTGCATGAACGGATGGATTACAACCACTAACCAAACAGCGCTTGAATCCATATTCGATGGAAAACAATGTGATAGCTAGTGAGAAAATCGAATGATTCTTTCTTCTTGACCAGTCAAGAATAAATAGTTATTTCTTGCAGCAAAAGAGCCCAGCAATTGTATCCTAGCAATAGGAAACCAATCTTCATTGCATTTTGTTGTTGGTGGTAATCCGACCCAGCTTCAGCAGCACTAATGCACTTGCGGGTGTATCATACCGTTCTGACTGCACGCTTGTGCGGGGATTCCCCATCAGCGCAATATCTCTCCCCCCACCCCCCCCCCAGCCCCCCTCCCAGGATGTTGCAGCGATACGCAAATATGTGTACGTGCTCACGCGCAATGTGCCACAAATCAGACTTCGCAAGCTTCCTGCTTCACAATTCCCCTTTGCCACAAATAAAATGTTGACCAACATGGGCATTTCGCCCCCATTCTCAACGCTTGCGCCAAACCTTCGCTGGCCGAAGTCACAGTTGAAATTTTGGTTCTGGAAACCCAACGACCCAAACAAACCGCCTGCTTTCGGTGCTTGGATCTCTACATGCATGCCCTTCCCACGACAGGTTATTTTGCCCTTTCTGGGATTTGTCGCCCGGCACCGCCTGTGTTCTCGCTCTGTAGAATTCGTGGCCCCTCCTGTGCCTTGCCGATCTCCCATTATTCTTCTGTCAGTGTTCATGATCCGAGTGCCGTACCGCACCGCAGAGTCACTCCGCGTCGACGCCCGCGCTCTCAGCGTCGTATGCGCCCGCCCACAGTACACCGACGCCCATCACAATCCCCCTGATGCCCCTCCCCACCTCCCCGTCTGTACATTGCTCCCCATTACGTCAACGCGGCCCACACTCACACACCAGTCGTGTGGGGCCAACCTCGGCAGCTGACCCCTTGCGCAGCTGGCCGGGTGAGCCCCCTCCACGCCGTCTGCCTTCGCCCACGGCACGCGCGCTCGGGCACTCACATCCTGGGGCGCGCCTCCGCTCCACCGCACCCCCACCCCCCACCTACCCTTTTTTCCCAGCCCACCCTTGCCTGGTCCCCGTCCACCGGGCATCCCGCATCGCCAAGCCGGCGCCTGGAGGCCTCACGTGGCCCGGAGCGTCGCCGGGGCCAGGCCGGTCGCCCGAAGGTGCGGCACGCCGCGAGCGCGCCGGCGGCGACCAAGAGCATCGCCACCCCCCCTCCACCACCCGCTATTGCTCAGCAAGGCCGCGGAAACGGTCCGCCAATTCGCTGTTCGTCTTCGCCGGATTTTCCGCGAGCCTCTCCCCCGATCCCTTGCGCAGTGCGCCGTGGCCACGACCCCTTCCCCGTCTCTCTGGCTGGGAGTTGAGTACCGCCGGACTCGCCCCGAGGCTGGAGGCGCCCTGGGCGCGCCGTGGCGACTTTGTCTGCCCTGGGCGTCTGGGCGTCGGCGGGACCAGGGGGATGGTGCTGCGCGCACTGGGCCTCGCCGGGAGGGTGGCTGGGACGGTCGCTCGGTCCTCCGGACGGGGGATCGATCGCGGGCGGAATTTCGCCGCTGGATTTGGCGCGGCGTTCGCCGTGCGCAGCGGGCGTGAGGGCACGCGCAGGGCGGCGTGCGGGCTGGGTCGTTCTGAGTGGCCCCTGGCGAGATGGTCGCGGCCAGGGGCGGGGCGGGGGGTTGGGGGGGGAGGGATCCGACCCAGGTAGGATACAGCTCCGCGTGGAGACGTGGTACGGATCGCCCACCCAGGAGTCTGCCTGCCCAGGACGTGCCTGGTGTCCGGTTTTTGATGGGCGTCCGCCGCACACCTGTCAAGCCGCTTATCCGGGCTCAGACGCCCCTCCGGCGCCTTCGCGCCGGCCCCTTGCCGGCGCCTTCGCGACTCGATTCGTGGCGTCGCGCAAGGCGGGGCGGATGGCGTGGAGAATGGCTGCGGAGCGCATCCTTTGACACGCGCCCGCATGTGTCGTTGACTGACGATGACTACCCCGCGCGGGGCACACGGATACGTCCTCTCCCGCGGGGGATCGCACCGGGCTGGCCGCCGCGCGGTTGAAAGGCGGACTGGTTGATAGTTTCGAGGTGACCGCCTGGGACCCCGCGCGCCAGCGTGGACCGCGCTGCTTGCGCGGATACCGCTTGTTTGGGGCCATCGGTGCCAGCGTTTGGCTGGATGGGACGGATGCGGAGAGGAGCTAGGCGCACTGGGGAAGGGGGGGGGGGGGGGGGGCCGGCTGGCAGAGCCACAGTGCTCAGTGCGAGTCCAAGGCACCGTTTGGATTGCTTCGGCTAAGTGTGTCGAGGAGACTGACATAGAGTGGGCATTGGCCCATCAACCCGTGCTTGCATTATGTCGGGGTGGATCCTTTGTATTCAGGCGTCTAAGAGGAGAAGAAGGCATTTCAGGCTGTGTCATGGGCACTGTACAGGAGCCCGACTGAATCGTTTTGCTGTGGAATGGTTGATGCAGATGAGCAGTGCCTGCTGGCTGAAGGTGCAGCTGCCATCTTGTGTGTATTGCACCGCTTGATAAGACAGAGGTTGGTCGCTGTGTCATTGGAGCCTACCACATAGACAAGCATGAGATGGCCGTCTGTGCATGGGCCTGTGGCCTGACGGTTTCCATTGTTGCTGCACATGTACAGTAGGATGAATCGCACACACAGGCCTGATGCCATATCAGGAGCACAGACACAGCTTCCTTGCACATTGAGTTGGAGAGCTTATCTCACCTGATATAACATGTTATCGCTGCTCGCATCCACTCTTGGATGGTCTTTTTTTAGAAGCTTGCCGTATTTCACTGCATCAAAATGGCTACAGTGACTTGCCACAGAACAATGCCAAGTGTCTGTACTTGCATCAGCGGGACCACAATTGTTGCCAGCTGATGTCTGCAGTTGCCCAATGCCAACTGCATGGCAAGACAGACAACACGCTGCTGTTCCAATTTTGTGCATCACATTTGAGAGTGGTTAGGTGAAAATGTGTGTTGCAAGTTGCCAGTGACGGTGTATTTAAACAGTGAATGAGCACTGTGCAGCCGCAAATGTCTTGCCTGAGCCTGCCACCTGGTTGAATGCTGCTCTAAACTAGTGTCGCCTTTCCTGTGTGTACATTTAGGTCACTTGTGTCAGGGCAGCCGGAAAAGGAGAGGTGCTTGCTGCTGTCAGCAGGATGGGCGAGCAAGCCATCTTTGGGGCCTGTGAGGCTTTCTACAAGAAGTGCTACAGTGATGACAGGATAAAACATTGGTTCCAGGGCATCAGCCCCAACACCATGGCAAAGAAGATGACGGCCTTTGCCTGCTATGCCTTTGGCGGCGATGTAGGGCACTCGATGCACTCGAACAGAATTGTTGTGTTTGCATGTGCAACACGTGGGAAAACAAATCTCTGGCATCAACTTAGGCCACAATGGGTGCACTGTGCCACCAAAGAGAGTGCTACTCTGTGCTGTCTACTCTATGTGCCAGTAGAACCCATATCCAGAAGGAAAGACATTTGGTGAAAATGATTCTGGACAATTGTCCAGAACAGCAATGTCTCCCTTCCGATGATGCCATCATTTACATTTGTGAATCAGCTACGTTGCCCGATGATCACAGGCACGTATTCATCATGTTGTGGCTGTGCTGAAATGTTGGACAGCACCCATAGGCAGAAGATCTGTTGCTCAAAAAGGAGACAAGTGTGCTCACTTTGAGTCTGTTTTCCACTAGGCCTCACTGGTTGCACAACGTCTTGCAGGACATTGTCCACTCACCCTCAGTAGAGGCATTGCTGTGCCACTCACTGCTTGTCATTGTTGTCATTGTTGCTTCTGTTGGCACACCTCTCACTATTGTCTTGGATATGACTGCAGAGTCTCAATAAACTGTGTTTTAAAGTTTTGCAATTTTTATTATGTGCATCCTGCCTCCAGATTAGACAATTGATGTTCTAAGAGTGTAACCTGCGTGCCTTCCAGGAAGCCTATGCTGGCAGAGATCTTGCAGAGGCTCACGCAGGGTTGGTCAAACGTGGCATGGGCGACTATGACTTTGATGTCGTGGTGGAGCTCTTTGTTGAGGCTTTGAAGGTCAGCCACTGTGTGGATGGTGATACTCATGTTCTTCTTGCTCACCGATGTTATGGCTTGGCTTGCATCGACACAGATCACCACTCACAACGCAGCTCACACCTGACACAGAACAGATCGTCTCACCCCTTCCCCCCTTAAAAATGGTCCACCAAAATATTCCCCAATGTGACCTCGTGTGCTGCAGACTTGAGTCACTGTTACGCCTCAGTGTTGATTTGGGGGTGAAAATTTATATGCTTGTTGAAGGCTGTGTGGTTGCAGCTGTGAGTGCCACATTAATCAGAAAGACAAATGTCCACAGCCCGTATTCCATTCTGGCACGAAGTAGACAGGGAGCCAACCGGCGTACCCTCTGCCGGAACACTACAGCTGTCACCATCACTTGCAATCCCTGGCTGTTGTTGCGGTGGGGAAAGGGATGGATTTCAAATCCTGCTGTGCTACATATGCATGGAACTTTTTCCTACATATCCTTGGAACTTTTTCCCTTGCTTTATGTCATCCTGATGTGATGCACTACCAAGTGTGGAATTTCTTTGTGTCCACACTCCTTCTTCTTCCAGAGCAGTCCAATGTGTGGCCAAATGATGACCTTGTAGAAGCAGAGTCTGGCAAGCAAATGGTCAACATCTGCATTGCTTCTAAACTAAGCAGATCCACTGCCATTGATGCCTGCCTTTCCAGTGCCAGGCATCACTATCTTGTACCATTTGTCCAGCCAACATGCAAATCGATGGGAATAAGTTATTGAGGAGAGAATTTATGGTAGGCATTGTTGTCGTATGTTTTCGTATGTTGTAACTTGAGAGTTTGAGCTATATAACACGATTCAATCTGCATACTGTGCACAATGTCAACGATGTGAAGGATATGCAGCCGATGCAGCAGCATCCAGGGAGTGCCACAGCCCATCTCTGTGCATGATGCATGCCGACCCTCAGTGAGAGCCACTGGGAAGAAGTGGCTGTTGCCTGACAGCTTTCCCAAATTTGATGTGCAACTGATATGATGGTCTACTCTGTGCTACAAGATGCGCACAGGATGCTGCATGGAAGTAAACGTCAGTTGGTAGTGGAACTGTAACGTTGCAGAAGGCCGATACTCCATGTACCCCGGTGTTGTATGTCTTCCGATTTCAAATATAGCAACCCATTTCAGCATTCAGGTACCACCCCATCCTATCACAAGATATGTGGGCCTTCTGCCACCTAGCAAGAGAGTGCAAGGCGATATAAAGCCCCAAAGGTGGTCGATTCCCAAAGTATGCTCAGTCTCAGAAGAGAGAAGTTCAGCACTCTGGGGGCCTCTGGCAGAGCAGCAATCAATAGTAAATCGAATTTGTCCGTTTGTTTGTTCTTATAACCCTGGGTTGTATGTTGTGGGCATTATCGTGGCATTGGGGTTTTCGAGTGTCTGCAAAGTTGCGCGTAGCTGTGTCTGTGTGTGAATGTGAATGCATCGTCAACAGAAGGACACCTAACACAAAATGTGGTGTTGCGTGGAACTACTATGCGGTAATGTGACATGTCACCTACTTTTCACAGGATCAGCAAGGTCCATGATATTGGGGTGCTAGCTCAACTGATCATCGCAGGTAGAAGAACGAAGACCCTATTCCTTTATTTGGCTGAACACAGCCTAATGGCCCAGAACCCATGGACACCTCTGACACTGTAGAAAGGGAAACACGTCCCTGGTGGCAAACTGCCATCCCCAGTCGAAAGTGCCCCCCTGAGGCAGTGAATTTGCCAGACGCATCAGTTGCACCTTTGTGTGTGAGTGTATGTAAAGGTAGGCAGGCAAGGATCGCACCGCAAGCATTGCCTCACACAAGAATGGCTGTGGTTTTCTGTTTGCACGATTGTTATGAGGAAACATGTTTGTTGTGTGTGGCGGACCAGGAAGGCAAAGTGCCTGACGAGATGATCGGCGAGATTGGAGCCATCGTGGGGCAACTGAGGGACCCTGTGCTTGGGCGCCTTCCTCGAATGGAGGGCGTTTGCCCATACCATTCAGATTCAGGCTCAGAAGAATGTCCACACAGCTCGGGCTCGGGGTCAGGCCCAGGCGATGGTGGTCATGAGGCCACCCTGAAGGGGAACACAGTCGATCAGGATGAAGACACACAAAGCCCAATTCGTGGCTCGGCTGATGTGACTGGTGATTCTTCCAATGGCGCCTCACAAAACTCGATGGGCAGCATGCGCAGGCACGGCAATATGGTGCTCAGTCCGATCACTGATCTGCGCAGGCCCGACGAGGAGTTGGTACTGAGCCCAACTAGTGACATGCACAGCAACGAAGACATGGTCCTCAGCCCTGGCAGGGACGTGCCCAGGCACCACAATGGCTTTCACAGCCCCACCCCAGAGGTGCACAGGTTGTACGACGGCTTCCGCAGCCCCCCCAAGGAAGTTCACAGGCCTGATGACCGATACTACAGCAAGAGCAGGGATGCCTACAGTCCAGATGAAAGGGGGGGCGGGCCAAGCAAGGATATGCACAGGTCGGATGGAAGGCTGCATAACCAAAGTGGAGTGATGCATGAACCTGATGGCAGGTATAACGATCCGAGTAGGGACTCGCACAGGCCAAATGACAGGTACTACAGTTCGGAGGGGGATGCACACATACCAGGGGAGATAGGCCAGGACCTGACTGGGGAAGTGTATGAGGTTGATGGAAGGTACCAGGCCCACACCAGTGATATGCCGAGACCTGGTGCAGGGTATCGGGGTACCAGGGACACACGTAATGAAAGGCCTGAAGGTTGGACAAGGGAGGGGGCAGCGGATGGTGAAAGGAATCAAACCCGAAGCCAAGATGTGTACAGGCCCCCTGTGAGGGCGGCATGCCCGATGGCAGGCAAGAGCAGTGCGAATGGAGGCAGGGGCAGTGCCAACGGGGGTGTGCAGGGCCTGAGATCAAGCATGCATAGGTCTGCTGAAAGACTGCACAGCTCAAGCATGCGCCGACAAAGGGTATCCAGCCCAGTTCCGGGAATGAGGACTATGGGTGCGCAGAATACCAGCAGGGGGTCGCAGAACTCCCAAGAAAGTATGACTACATCAGATGAAAGGTATTTCAGCCCAGGCAGCGAGATCCAGAGGTCGGGTGAAAGATATGGCGCAATGGGCAGTCCCATGCAAAGGAGCAGTGAAAGACATGTCGACGTGCAGAGCTCTGGTGAAAGGTACTCCATTCCAGGCAGCGACCTGCAGAGTTCGGATGAAAGATATCACAGACCAGGAGGGGACAGGCAGCGGCAAGATGCAAGGTTTCACAGTCCCAGCCGAGACATGCGAGGGCTTAGGGACAGGCCAACCGGTCAAGGAATGGACAGGGGCACTGGCAGCAGAAGGCACGGTGCCAGCAGTGGCAGGCAGGGCGCCAGCGAAGACATGCACAGACGTGATGAAAGGGTGCACAGGCCTGATGAGGGTGTGCAGAGAGCGCCCACTGGTTCGGATTGGGCCCCATCTGCCCAAGGCGGAGTGGACAGAACCAATGACGGGATGTACAGTGTGGAGTTGAGAGTGCACAATACGTACGAAGAAGCAGAGAGTGCAGATCCAGGCATGTACTATCCACGCCAAGATGTGCACGGGCTCCCACGCTCTCCATATGGGAGTAGGCAGGCAGAGTGAGACAGGCCAAGGTCACTTGGTGTGGGTGTTATTGCATTTTCTGCTGCTGCCGATCAATATGTGCACGAGGCATTCTGCAGGCCAGGTGTTGGACCCATTTGTTCATGTGGTGAATTTTTTTGGTGGGGACTCCAGGGTCCAACGGAAGCTGAGGCACAGCCTGAACAGAACGCATAGCCTCACTAATGGGGATGAACTGCTGATGCATCAAGCACTGCACGTTGAGTTCCCAAGGCTTGCGGCACAGGACGATATGCAGATATGGGATCTGTGCCTGAGGGGTTGCTGGCCAATGCCAGCAAATGCTGGATCTCGTTGAAGTAGCACTGGAAGCAGCAGTGTCCGGGCTGGGATTGGATCAGGGGTTGCATTTTTGATACGGGGGTTCTTCCTGGGTGGAGATGAAGGGGACCAATGGTGGGTTGTGGCAATGTGCATGTGGGACCAGCATTCAAGGTGTGGTTGGCTGGGCTGGAACTGGTTACTATCTTTTGGCGGGTAAACGATGACAATAGGAATGGGGTGGAGAGGCGGCTTTCCTGCGTTCGTTTCCAAAGTGGATTCGTGCCCATCGGGGGGCATGAGACGCGATTGGGCACCCAGCCCCCCTGAGGGGTTCCCTTGACCTCGTGAAATGAGCAAACGAGATGAATGGACCGTGAGTGGGCCGTAGTACCAAAGGATTCGTGAGGAGGATTGGGGACGTGCGGTTTGGTGGCGATGCACCAGGAGGTGAAGTCTGGATGACAATGGAATGTCGTCTGCGCGCGTCTCTGTGTGGATTAATTCATTGCTCGACAGACCGTCGATAGTTTTAACTCGGTTGCCAAAGTTCTACGGTGTGGCCACACAAATACCGCGTCAGGTGCTTCGTATGTGTCGGACAGATTTTGCCTGACAAGTCGATCAAAGTCTACTATACTCCACAACCCTTCCAAGGCCGACGGCGTGAACTGCGCACAATTGTCAGGACGCTATGGGATCACGGTGGGCATTTTGTCTAACTGCTCTTTAGGTCAATCAGGTTGGAACGTTCACGCCGGGCCCTTGAGGCCTCAATGCTGCAACCCACGCCACAACGGTGGGCCTTGACAAAACTGCATGGGACTGTACATGAATTTGCACGATGTACCGCCCAGCAATGGCCCAACACGCCAACCAGTCGCAGCCCTAGGCGCTGCTCGAGTCATCGGGCAATTAGCCAATATGTCATGGACCACACAGGCTACAAGTGTCCAACTCACTAGCCATTCTAAGGCACTTTTGGTTTGTGTAATACCATTCGTTCTCCCTTTTTTCCGTATCAAGGAAAAAGGCAGCGTCGTGGCCCTTCCATGGGTCCAGTTGTGTCCCCTGTTGTTGGCAACGACAACGAGGCCCCATCCTTCATTCACTGCCAAAAGTTTCCCCAAATCGCTCGGCACACTTGCTTCGTCCAATGCTAAAAGCTAGTGGCTTTAGCAACCACACATTAGCATTGAATACAATGGAAACAGCGAACATGGCAGCAGCAGATTTGAGGTCTGCTGCTTAGACGGGAGGGACAGCTGGTGTTGATAGAGCCAGTCATTGCGTCAAAAGAGCAAGTCAGATGCAGTACCAGCAGTGGAGATAATGCACACATCTAGGCACGCTGAACCAGACATGACCCAAGCAGATCAAGCTCATGCGTCAAAGCAGCAGCATGTGCTTTGATAGCGTACATCACGCAGGTTCCCTTGGCACACAATTCTTGAGTCTGCCCGTATTATGAAACGCCCACAGAAGCGTGGACCAATAAATTACCAATGCAGAACAGAGACACATAACAAATTCTCTCCCTCTTTAAGCAGCCGCGGCTGCGCCCTCCCTGACTTCCCCGTCCCATCCCCCATTTTCAACGGCTTACCAAGAATAATGAGTCTCGATGCTCACTGCTCACTCGGTGCGACTCTCCAGTCAGTTATCCTCTCAACACCGGCGTGTGCACCTGCTGGTGCCAAGCATGAACACTACCGCACGCTGGAGCCCTGCCCCACAGCCAAAACCCGGTGGAATGGGAGATTGCCACATGGCCAGCACGCACCCAGAGCCAGGCAGGCTCCCACACCATGCTGGCCTCGACTCCCTGAATGTGCCTGCACGACCAACTGCGCCCCAGCTGCTGGAATGCTCTGCAGCCCTGCATCCCCGGCGTCAAAATGTCAGCCAGGACGTGTCAAGGTTGAGCATCACTGCTGTGTATTCTTGTGGTGAATGCTCACTGATGGGAGCCCTCCTTCGAAAATGACTGGAACTAGCGCATAGGGTCCATCTTGAGGTCCCGAACCAAGTGCCCAGTAACTATGTCCACAGCGGGGTCTTCTGTGTCTGCGGGAGGGGCCGTGACCTGCTTGGCCTGTGCGCACGTTCTGCTCTGGGGTGCCCCCTTTGGGACGTCCTCGCGGAGGAGTTTCATCTGGAGCCGCTCGATCCAGCTCATCTGGGTCATCGAGCCGTCCAATCGCCTCAGAAGATCCAGCAGCTCCTCGTACTGTGGCTCACAGGGCTGGGTGCTGATCAGCTCGATCTGCCCAGAACGCTGCACCAAGTGGACCTTGGCAACAGCAGGGCAAAGATGTAGTTAAGTTCAGCGATCGTCACAAACTGCTTGCTGTGGAGAATACGGAGCAGCCTGATGCGACAAAGCAGTCTGCGGCAAGGCAAGCCGTGTGAATGACGAAGATTTTTGCAGCTTTACCAATGGCTCCAGTCTAATGGCTGGGCATATCACTGTGCCAAGGGTGGAGTGTATCAGGAAAATTATGGTGGGCACCTCAAGTGAAGTTCTGCTGATGAAGAATCTCCACCTGAAGAGAAGATCAATGGGCACTTTGATCCAGACGAATGTGATGTCAGACAACCACATTCAGGTGCAATGCTCAATTTCCAAAAGTGCCTGCTGATGATTCCAGGCCCAACTGTACTTGTACTCATGCAACGTGCATTGCGCATTGCACCTGAACTCGACTCAAGGACTAGTTAAATGGTTGAAGGGCACACAGCATCCAAAACTTTATGTCAACCCCAATCGCTGTTATTCGCACAACAGGAGTAATGGACCCTTCAGCCCAGCTAACCTGCCAATCGCCAGGGTAGCATCGAAGAAGGAGCACCCGATCGTTGAAGATATTAATCTCTTTCTGGAAGAACACCTTCTCAAACGAGTCCACAAAATCCTCTCGCAGCTTCCGCTGCACACCAAAGCCGAAGTCCGACACAACCTGCCCTGGCTGCCACTGTGGGTTGATCATCAACAGGAGTCTATTGCCGCCATAGCCTCTGTCCAGTCCCCTGATTTGGTCGACCGTGTCAGAGACAGGGAATAGCACAGCAGCAACTTTCTTGCTTTCCCAGCATCCTGCATTGTGGGGAGTCACATTTCAGCCCAAATCCCATGCCAAGAAATTGCAGCACCGCACTGGTCCCGTTCAGATGTGATTCGAGATAGTGGATAAAACTAATGTTGTCTCCAAGAGGGTTGCAGAAGCAATATCCTTCACTGTTGAAACTCCATGTGTTCTGACTTGCAGCAGCGATAGCAACTCCAGGACACAACATTGGGCACCATAGGACAGAGCCAATAATGCCAAATATACACAGCGCAAAAGAAAGGCAACAAAACAAAGAAATAACGCACCACTCCAGTTTATGGGTGGTGGGCAATTCTTCATGGCACACATCTGGACAGCTGGCTGAGATGGGTTGGGCTGTGCATCAGGATGCCAAAGATCTTCTGCACAAAACAGCTGGTGGTTGTCTATGTACCCACCAACAGCATCGCCCTCATCAAGCACTTGAGCCTCGAGGCGACCCTCCAGGCCCTGCTGGCGCTTCAACTCCAACAAAATGGACTCCACAAGGGGTGTCACAGCCCGAAACTGCTGCTGGATACTTCCTGGCCAGCCCAGTGACCCACGCAGATCAGCCACATCCAGCATAGACACCTGGAGATCGAGCCTTTGTCGTCGAACGCCAGCCCTCCAGGCTCGAAGGCATGCCTGCGCCGCCTCTTGGCAGATGGATTGGGCCTGAGTGTGCACACGATGAGAAGCATGAATAGAGCGAAACAGAACATCAGGATGGACACCGTCATGGCACACTTGTGTACCAAAGGATCTGTATTGCAACCCACGGGCACGTGTGCTTGATTTTCCTTAACAAGAAAGTTGAGCAAACACTTGGACGTTGCATTGTGGATGGCGCAACTGCTGTCATCGCCTTACAGATGCAAGGGCTGTGCAGTGGCACCCTTGACAAACGCATTCGAAAGACTGCTGCACTTATGTCCACAATAGTCCAGGCACAAACCTGGAGGGGCACCGAGTGGGTTTTGGAAGGCTCTTGGCTTAGTTGCACTTCAACGGGTTGAAGCACACGAGGATGTTCCATAAGTTCCAGGGGCTGCAGTTCACGTTTCCACTGTTCCTCTTCTCGTAGTGCAGGTATGGTTTTCGATGCCATAGGTAGGGCTTCCTGCTTATCTTTCTTTGCCTTGAGAGCCTTCAACAAAGGACAGGTTCTGATGTTGTGCCCCTGCTGTTGGCAGAAGCTGCACCGATGGGTAGCTGAGGCTGCGTCAACCAGCGCCCTGGCAAAAGCAGCAATGGTCACACAATCTCATCACTGGAGATGTCAACATCAATGTGAAAAAGGGTGGCCCAAGCCCAGATGTCAGACATAATTGATGAGCGTGGTCCAAGTCCAGGTGTCAGATGTAACAGATGAGAGATGCTCACTGATGAGTAAGCGGCAAATGTTGAGGCAAGACAGTCGATGGACTTGTGAAAGCAAAGCACTGCAATGCATCAAAATCATCCGTTCCCAAGGCGATCCATTGACTCTGCACAGTCCCCAAGGAACGCTTGTACCTTGGGCAAGTCCTCTTGTTGTGTCCCACTGCTCCACACAGCGAGCACGTGACAGTGGTCTGCCGGGCAGGTTTTGCGCCCTCCCTTCGCTTCTTCCACATCTTCCTCATGCTCTGCGCGATTTTTGTCCTGTGCTCAAGTGACCTCCTGTACTTATTTCTCCCGCGCATAGCCAGCCTAATCTTGGCCCTGTGCACATGTGGCAAGGCCACCCCCTTGCGCCTGCCTCGCCTCTTCCCACTCTCCCCTCGTCGACTTGGAATGTCCAATTCTCCGATGTCCACATACTCCTCATCCAGCATCTCATCTAACACGTCCAAGTCGATGTCCTCCAAGTGTATGAGGTCTGGCATGCCCTCCAGATGCTCCAAAATTTTCTCATCCTTACCAACGCTCCCTAAATCGACCAGCTTCATGTCCCCATCCTCACCTCTGGAGCGCTTTGCATCAGTTGAAATTGGACTGCGAACACTGTCACCTGAGTTTGAGCCACCCTGTTGATCTGTGCTCAGATCTTCAGTCCACACCTCCAGATCACGGTCTGGTGCAGTTGTGTCAACCTGTTCACTGTCACCGTCCATAGTGGTGTCAGCCACAATGGCTGTGTGAGCCTCCGCTCCCAAGCCCCCTGCTACCTTGAAGGAAGCTCTTCGCAATGAAACATCCTTTCCAGCAGCAACCAATTTTGGTGATTGGCCTGATGGCAACCCCACTTTGAGAGCACACCAACACAGGCAGTGACATTCTGGAACCTGCGCCACCAATCCAATGATCCAGTCAAAGGCACACCACTCTGGGTCAACGCTCTAGGGCAGGCCATTCACAGTCCCACACTCCTGACTGGCATACCTGCAGCCCAAAGCTCTTCCCGCACACACGCTGACAACGAGTACATCTTCCAATCTATGATCAGCAATGCGGAGGCAATGATCAAGATGGGCAATCCAAAAAGGGTGCAATGATTCTGCCAATTAAAATGCAGCAAAAGCGCCATCCGCTAATACTTCTGCAACTGTCCAGTCTCTTTATTGGTGTGCATCTGCCCATGAGAAGAATACTCTGCTACCCTAGCGTTGTGAGTTTGGGTTTTCAGGTGCATTGACCACTTACAGGACTCGGGGTGTCAGCAAAAGACTGGGCGAGTAATCGGATGCCGCCCAATGGATGCCATACCATTCTTTCGTCGGGGCCATTCCACAATCCGTTCCACAATTCCACAATCCCACAATCCCACAATCCCACAGTCCTGGCCACACGACCCAAAAACGGCATATCGCCCAAGTCACATAACCCAGTCGCTCTACATCATCTTTCACAGGACGGAAAAGAGTCTCGCATACTGTTGCTCAGAAGGGGTGCCCATTACATGACCCGTTTCTTCCTGCCTTTGTAGCAAATCTTGCCCAACCCGGTCGCCATGAACGGCAGAGCCCGCCACGCACCGACTGCACAACCCCACGTCGCCTCGGCCACAACCGCCACGGGCGCGACGCCGCGAGGGCGGTCCCCGTCATCCACCCCGATCCATGGAGCAGCATCGCGCCCGAACAGCCGCCCACGCGAGGGCGCTTTTTGACGGTGTGCCGCCTTCCAGGGGCTCGGCCGGCGCTGCGTCAGAAGGCGGTTTGTGTGGGTGGACGCGGTGCCCCCGCAACATGGGCCTGCACGGGTCGCAGGCCGTGTGCACTGCGGTTTCGAGACCCGCGAGCAGTTGGTTCCCTGACCAGTGCGCAAAGGGGGCAAAAAGTGCGCAAAAAGTAGTCGGGCCTGGGATTACTAATGTGCAGTGGCCCCAGGCTCAGTCCACGAGTGGCGGACGTCAGGGCGCTCAGCGCAAAAAGTGGCGAAGTCGGGGTGCCCAGAATGGGAAGCTGGGCTGGGCGCCTCGCGTGCGCATCGAAACACCTTGCAGGCCACAGCGGAGCGGCGTTGGGGCGCGGGAGGAGAAGGCCGGTCGGGCCGCGGACTGCGAGGCTGAGCACGAGACAGGGGTGGCTGGAGCTCTCCTTGCGAGGCGATTGATCGGGGTGGCAGCTCGTGGGAAGCGCAGCAGCCATGACGGTGCCGGGCGACCTCTGACGCCCGCAAGCTGGCAGAGGCACATTTGGTATGTGACTTGCACAAATCCGGCTTGGCGCTGTCGCGCTTTCTTGGATAATATAACCTGTCTAACATCGATCATTGATTGGTGTGATGGGGATGGCTGGCTCCCTGGGCGCTCGTTTGACTGCCGCCATGCCTCTCTGCGGATTGCAGGGCGTGAGGGAAGGAGGCTTCGCGGTGCCCCAAGAGCGGCGCCCGGGGAAGCTGGCGATCGGCGTCTGAGATCCGTGCGAAGGACTGCGCATGGCGGGGCCCATCTTTCCCGCCGATGCATGGGCTGGATCCGGCGTCGTCAAAAGACCCGAATCCCGTGGAGTCAGATGCCCGTTACACCGCCCGTTCAGTGCTGCGAGGATTGATGCTTCGCGCGGATGTCGTGGCTTCTGGAGTCGCCCACCGCTCGCGTCATTGCAACTGCAACATCTCCGGCCGCGTGAGTCCAGCATGTTGAAGCCAGGTGGTGGCCCGTGGATAGGACAACCAAATGCCGCTGCGGGGATGTTCCCCGGATCGACGACGCTTTTGCCGCTGGCGCACCTCAAGCCTGGTGTCCTGGCGGCGACGGTGTCAGCCTCTTGCAAACTGCTTGCTATCTGCGCCGTTGTGGGCTACCTCATGGACACCAAGAGGCTGCCAGACTCCACTCCTGAGGTTTTGAGCAAACTGGCGTTCGAACTCCTGATTCCAAGCCTGCTCTTCACTAAAGTGGTGGCTGCGCTGGCGTTGAAACCAGAGGTGCTTGTGCCTGCTTGCTGTAGGTCTGTCATTCTTGTGGCCGTGTTTCATCCTGACTTTCCCCATGCAATCGCCACAGACTTGGGTTTTCCCTTTTGGACCGCTACTTTCCTGCTTAAAAGAGGAAGAGGGTTGGGAATTGGGGGCGGGGCTTGGTGGCCCTGTTGGCAGTCATCAAGCACTGACAACTCCTGCCAGCAAAGTTTGTGCACCAAAAGGCTCAATTGAACCCCAGCCTTCTGTAGAGTACAACTTAGAGCTTCCTTTTGGAACCTGTTCACTCATTCTGGGTGGTTGGGGTGGGTTGGCACCTTTCTGTCTGGTACCAACTCCAAGACAGCATTGCTGAAAATTGATGAATGGGCCATCACCATGCACAAGGCAAGAGCAATGCTTGCAGAAAGACACAAGCAGCTCTATTTGCACTCGTTTATGAGCCAATGCACTTGAGACACTTTTCGTGGCACCAGGCGTCTCTCCTCTTCATACCAGTTTCGGCCGTCGCTCTCATAGTTGCTGGTCTCTGCCTTGGGTTGCTTGCTGGTGCCATACTTGAGCGCGGAATCTTCTTCTTCCGGAATGCTCCATTGCTTCGTCCAATCATGCCAGCACGATCAGCACAGACTATCGCAGCAACGACAGCAGCAGCATTTGGAAACCCTGCGGTACGTGAGGGGACCTCAAAGTTCAGATGGCAGTGGTCACTTACAGCGAGATATGTATTTCTCTTTGTATATCTCCCTTTTTTGTGCGGTTCATGTGGATAGATTGGGCCATTTTCAGGGATGAGTTTATAGCTTGTGGACCTGTTTGGTGATCTGTTGCCATGGTTTGGAGCTGTGGAGTAATCTATTGCTGGTACTCTCTTCTTGCCGATGCAACGGACACATAGATGTCAGCCGTTTGGCTGCCCACCATATGAGGCCATTTGTATTCATTCCTGTACAACAAAAGATGAATTTGTGAGCACCAGGTGTGTTCCTGTTTGCTTCCAAAATGTCACATCACATTAAAGATACTAGATGCTGAAGCAGTCCTAACAGAAGCGATGTGGGCCTTGTTCATCTTCACAAAAGATTGCAAGGTGATGTGGACCCCAAATAGATGTTTGTGTAAAGATAAATGCACCTAAAAGAAGAGAAGTTCCACACTTTGGGAGATCAGTAATCCTAGCATATCACAGTAGTTCGTTTGTTGCAAGTGTTGACTCGAGATAATTTAACCCCAGTTTCACACAGTGTATTGTTGTTGTTGTTGTTCATCATATTGCAAGAAGCTTCAGCATTTATTAGCTCTGAGGCTCTGTCCTGTGCTGGCATGTCTTCAGTTTACCACAAACATTTTGTGAATGCTCTGATCGCACATGTCGATCTTGGTGAATTATGCCAGAAACCTGCAAGGTGATGCAGGGCAATGCGTTGCAATCCCAGTGCTGTTCCAAACTGTTCAGTGAGCCTCGACCTAAAGATTGGCCACTGTGGACTGAAAACCGGTATGTACAGGCCAGAAGAGCACACACCAGTTAGGAATTGGAAGAACAAGGTGTGTGACATCAGCACCCCCTGCAGTTTAATGATGCCCTTGACCCTGACACCCTATGACGCACAACACTCTGATGCAGTTGGTGGGCTGTATACTTCGGTATTTAGTGTGCTCCAGCATACATTCAGCATCATGTACCCCAGCACACCATCAGTGCACAGCACGATATCTTGTTATATTGTTCTTCATAGTGCAAAGCGCATTCCAGGCATACACCTACCGCTGTGCCACAGGAGCACTGTAGCATTGCGTTTGCATGCCCTAGAGATGCACGAGACTGTTCTCTAATGTGGCATTGACCCCAACATTGGCAGAATTGGCGTATTCCAACATCGCTGCCTGTTTCAGGCAGCCCAGATGCTTGTTCAGAAGCCTCAGCTGCCTCCACGGGGCCTGACTGAGATCCTCATCGCCGCATGTGCTTTTGGTGAGTATCGGCACAGGGATGGGACAATTTTGTCTGTGCTGCATTTTCCCACACCAACATCCAACCCCAAGGGTCACTGTCAGTGTGAAAGTCATTGTGGCTGCAGTCGATGTTCTTGATAGATTGGTTCCTACATTTGTTATGTTTCCTACCATGTGCACAGCTTCTCCATCTGCATCCCACCTTCAAAGACTTTCATATCTGCTGTTACAGTGTGGGTTGCATTCTCATCATCATTTCTTGTTAGGGGGACTCATTGTCTGGTGCTCATTGACCAGTGTCTCTTTCCTGCAATTATGAGTCTTTTTCCAATCCTCCCTTATTTCTTTGCCTTACTTCTTCTATGCTGCATGGCCTTCGGTTGAAGTGATTGAGCCAACTTTGCGACACCGACAAGTGCGGACTAGCAGAATTTCAGTTTTGGAACTGAATGTGTCACATTGGCATCCTGGCCATGGAAGCCAACCCTGTTCCTGGTGCTTTCTGACGATGACAGCTACCCATTTGGCTTGTGCAGGAAACTCATTCACACTTCTCCTAATTTTCATGCTTACCCTTCTGCCCACAGCCCTAGCAGATTCTGCGACAGCTTATGTTGCGTTGTTTCTGCTGGGCTGGTCACCTTGCTTTTGGAGCATTGGGTTCGCCATCCTAAACTACAGACCAGGACGTGGCAAGGACAGTGCAGGTATGGACAGCTTTTGACCTTTGCTCTGCTGCAACTGTAGTTGGGTGTGTGTTGCATGTCACCATGAAGCACTTGTAGACAACCAGAACAATGGTGCTGAATTAACATGAGTTCAGCAGCAACACAACCAATCCCATAGCGCCTTAGTGGCAATGCTTGCAGGGAAGCATGCACTCGTCTGGAATTGCTGTTGAGCTGATGACCACTGTGTATGAGTGTCCATCACTACAATGCATAGACTCTTGCATCACATGCTATGGTGTTTCCAACCTTGGCAAGCTGTTGCGAAAACCTTTGAAGGAAAGAACAACTCAGAAAGAACAGGTCGCATGGTGGTAATATTACCAAGATGAATTCTCCTGACAGCAGTGCCTATGCCTGACCCTTAACTAGGCACATTTCTGGTGCAGATTCTCTGCAGGTGACTGCTCCATTCGACACATCCTTGGCGCCAGCGGCCAGCCCCAGTGCAGACCGCCTGTACACTAAGGCACGGGCGCCCCTCAAAACTGCACTTGGGGTACCAGAACAGATAGCAGTTGGTACCACCCCCAGCGCACGCCTGGCGAGCCTCCTCCAGTCCTGCCGTGGTTTTGTCCAAGAGTTTGCATCCCGGGTCATGAACCCCCCATTGGTCGCGATCCTCGCAGCAGTTGTGGTGGGGCTGTCCCCACTGGGAAGGGTGCTGGCCCTTCCAGCGGACCACCCAGATGTGGTGCAGTGGTTGGGGAGCGGATGGGGTGCTGCGGCCACTGGGGGGCTGCTCTTGGGTGGCCTGCGAGTGCTATGGGGGGCCATGACGCTGCTGGGGAGTTCAGCATTGGCCGTGCAGACGATCGTGCTGGCAGCGTCAATAGTTCAGAGCAAAATGCAAGTTCCCAACAAAGGTACTGGGTGGATGTGAGCAGGCTTATTTGTGTCTCTCAACGGGGAATGCCTCCAACATGTGCTGCTTTCAATGCCACCTGACGTCCACATTGTTGCATCGCTACCGTTGTGATGCAGCGCTTCCTAAGTCGGTTGCATTGGAAGCTGAATGGAACGTACATTGTGAAGCAATTCAGGGCCCAGGTTTTGATGCACATTGCTGCTGATTTCATCTGTTTGCTTGGGAACATGAGTGAGGTCCTGCTGCTGCTGCTGTGCTTAACTTTGCAACAGGAAATCAACATCGACAACAGCCCACCCACCTGCTTCCAGAGTAACTTATGGACACAATTTCAAGATCGCTCACTGCACTGCCCTTGCATGCCATAGCCCGTGTTGGGCACCTTGTGCATCCATGGGTGGTTCCCATAGTGATTAAATTCCTGTTCCCCATCTGTGTGAGTTTCCAATATTCTGTTGAGACAGGCACCTCGGTAGGGAATGCAGAAGCGGGCTGGAAGCGGCTGCTTCTGCCTGCAGATGCCCTCGAGTCACGAGCGTTACTACTCAGCAGTGTCATTCGCCTCTTCGTGATGCCACTGGTGGGACTGGGCTTGGTTTCCAGCCTCTCGTCAATGGGATTGCTCCCTAAGGACCCCGTCTGCCTACTGGCCATCCTCCTGCAGAGCGCGATGCCATCAGCACAGAATTTGGTAATGTGATTTTCTTCCCACAGCAACTATTCTTTTGTCTGATGCCAGTGTGTCTGAGTAGTGTGGTCTATATGCCAGCTGTTTGCATTGCCCTCTGGGATTTCAGGCGCCACTACCTGCCCAATTTTATTGATACTAAAGTCTTTGCATCCGCAAAGACGGCTCAGCACAGGGCTTCACAGGGACTGGGCAATGCGTTGTGTGAAATCATGTACACGTGTCATGCCCACGCTGCTTGTTGTCAAAATATGCAAGTGGCGGCCAGTCTCAGTAGCTAAAATATGCCGAGCTTCAAAGCTCTTCAGAGATGAATGGGATGTAAAGCCAATTCGGCGAATGTGAGTAGCTCGCAACATCCCCTACACAGGCCAGGTGCAGCGATTGTGTGTCATCAACCCTTTCTCACAGGAGAGATGGGGAGCTCAAGGCTACCTCCTTGCCTTGGCAGGTAATGTGCTTTTTGTGCTTTGTCGAATGTTTGATTACTGTAATCAAAGCGGATGGGCATCTTGCGAACAGGTTATGGGTGCGACGTAGGTTCTGATGGCGCAGCTGAGGGACGAGACGCGCCCGCTGGCCCCAACTGCGGCCCGCCTCATCCTCCAGCAGTACATTGTCGCCGTCATCCCCATCACCATTTGGGCCGCCATTTTCGCAACACTCACAGGCGTGCCGCTTCGATGATGCGGATTCGATGACTCATCCCTGGCGGAGGGCGCATGAACTAAACTACTACGGTGCCCTGCGCGATTTCGAGGGGAGCAATTTCCATGGCCATTCCGTGGTCTCTGTTTGACGAATGCCTGGACTCTTTTGGCGGCAGTCAAGGTTGGGGCTCTATCGAGTCACTGGAATTGCATGTATCCCCAGAAGCGGAAGCAATGCCCTGCAATTTTCCAAGCTGAATCAATGAATCTGTTGTGCTTTGATTGAAATTCACTCGGCGTTCCAGGCGGTCCATAATGACCGCCGTCTCGCCAGGTGGCTCGCTCATGATGTGCATTATCTGCATGTGAAAAGCAAGCACAACACAAAGAGACATTTCTGGGTGCTGCGAAGAGGTGACACGCAGACTTGGATCGCTGGAGGAAACACAACGCGTGCGTCGCTTGTGGAAAACACATACGGCCCACTGCAAATGAAGTACTCAAAGGCCGTGGTCACGCATCGTGCAGAAATCCAAACGAATACGAAGGTTGCGTCAACCCCTGCCACCAGTGACTCAACCAGGAACCTCTGCTCATCGCGGCGCAAGCTCAAGCCCGGCTAGTGCGCACGAGAAACGCGCAATTCGGGTGCGCGCTGGGGAAGAACTCCCGTCCCGGACGGCACCCTACGCTACCGTGGCCGCCAGGCATTGGAATTCGCCCTCCTCGATATCCCTGTCCCTAAAATGCCCCACGGCCCTCAGGAAGTCCTCGAATCTGATGCCGTGGCCACGCCTCTCCGCCAGCCACTGCGCCACGATGCCCTGGGTGGCCGGGTGGGAGGGGTCCTGACCGGAAAGGTGGATGAGGTCCCGCAGCTGCTGTGGGATGAGGGCGCCGTCCCTTCCGTCTCCGCCCACCAGCTGCGTGAAGGTGTGGCGCAGCAGCTCCATGTCCAGCGGGTGCATGGTGCCGCCCAGCTGGCCGCCGCGGCCGGTGTCGCTGGGCCCGGCGCCGGACCGACTCTAGAAAAACAACGGAATTGTCGGTGCGACAGAGTGGCAGGGATGTTTTGCGGTTGGGCAGTACTTTCGTGGGCATAGACTTGGGCATGAAATTAGTCGCTCTGTGTGGTCCGTGAAGTTCCTTTCTTGTTTCGGCAACCTAAAACCTAAACAACCGCTGACCCGCTGACCCACGTTGGCCTTGTCAGCGGAAAAAGAAGGGATCTTCACGGAAAAGACAGAGTGACTAACCTATTCTCATGGGCGTTTTGGCGAGACTGTTCACGCAGGGAATTTTATGATGCATGTGTCAGTAGCCCGCACAGACTTAGCAATGAGAATGCAAAAGAGAACATTTGTGCAGGATATGTGGACGTGTGTGTCAAGAGGTCTGCAGGGCTACATGGAAACATGTACGCAGACAATGGATACAAAAAGGCGAAGAAGTGGCCTTCATCATGCGAGACGAACAAGGTGGTTTGATTTTGGCACATCGGGCTCTCGAGAGCGTTCGTGCATTTGTCTCTCCATAGTATTGAAGTATATCCTTTGCAGTGGCCAAGCGCTTGCAGAATAGCGCCTCCCAAAGAATGCCGTTTTTAGTTGAACACATTCTTGGAGTCATAGCATGCAACTTCCTTTATAAGCATAACGACGATATGTGTTGTTTATATTGCAATGTTCGTGAGGTAAATTACGATGTGAGCACATTTTGTGGTTTCCATTGATTGCTGCTGTTTTGTGTGCCGCGCCAGTTGAACATTAAGCCGAGCGGGTGCAGGGCAATTGTCCGCTGATCCAAAATTCGAAATTCGGAAGCACACATACTCCAAATGCACGAAAAACTGCATATCGTGTAGTGATACATAAATGCAAAAACCACCCAATGCTATATGCAATGGTCCAACTGCTGGAATCGACGATTCACTGTTCAAGCGCACTTCCGATCTCCTTCCGTTTCAACGAATGTCCGAATCCGCGACTTTTGAGCAACATCCCGTTGATATTGTACTATACACAAACACCACAATTTCTATTGCTTGCATCTTCAACTTCTGTCACATTTTAATGCGTTTTCTGTCCGTTCATAGACGAAGCACGGTCGGAAACTGTGTGCAATAAATGAGCATTTCCCAGTGCCTTCCCTTTCCCTCCCCACCTGTCTGATTCCCACCATCTCCTTCACAAGCATCTTGAACGGCTGTTCCAGCTGCAGCGACGGCAGGCGTGCCCCACGCGGACTCTCATTGCCGCCCGAGGCTTCTAGGTGCGACGTGAGAGCCTGCAGCGTGCCGTGCATGTCTTCAGTGAGGGGAGATAGCTCGCTGCTGTCGATGTCCACGAAGGTCCCGCACTTGGGGACGTTGTCGCAGTACTCCGCAACGTATTTCTTTCCCTGCTGCACCTGACAGCGCGCACCAAAGCGGCCCATGTGTAAAAACCAAGGTTAGAGGCGAGAGTGAGTGTGAGATCATTGTTGTCGGTGTTATGATGATTATAGTGATGAGTGCGATGCTCAACATGTGCGGATGGCATAATACTACAAGGATGCTGTGGTTGGCTTGTGAGAGTCGCTGGAGAGGGGGCAGAAAGCAATTAGCGCCAGCCCATAGCAGAAATTCACTTCCCCAGCTCTGCAAAGGCCTTTGTCTCCATAGTTCGTTGCGGATCACATTGCCGTTATATTTTGACACCACTAACGAAAACGCACTAGAATATGCAGCGCATATTATACACATATTATACACGTATTATGCGCCGATCTCCGCGGGTGCCAAGACTGGCACCAGCACCACGGACAGGCTCACATAACAAGTTTGAACACGTTCACTCACAAACTGTGCTAGATTCGCCTTCTTTAATTGTTTCGTTACTAGTTCATTCAGTCCTTGAATTGAACATAACGGTTAAACATTAACAGAACGAGATATGACGTCCCAAAACAACAGTTCTCGTGCCAGCGCCCACCAAGTACAGCGTCCCCAGTCCCTCCTTCCTCCCGTCCACGAAGGTTCCCACGAAGAGGTCACCGTTGCTATGCCGGAAACTGGCGGTGCCCTCCCGCCTGTCGTCCACCCAATTGCCGTCGTAGACGTCTCCGTTGCTGTAGGCCATGGTGCCCCGGCCGTGACGCCGGCCGTCCACCCACTCCCCGCTGTACACCTCGCCGTTGGGGTAGTACCGCACGCCGCGACCGCACCGCGCGCCGCTGGCGAACTCTCCCTCATACTGGACCACGTGGGAGCTGCCAGACTGGGGAGCAACGGCAGAAGTCAAAGCTCATCCAGCCTGCACACCTGCATACTAATATAGTGCATCCCCAAATGTGCGTATTTGTATTGAGTTTAATGTACACATACAAGCAAATTCAATGCAAACATGCATATTTAAGGGCAAGTGTACTGTGAACCTGGAGTTAATTGTTTTTCAAATGTGCTCCATTGGATTCCTCGTCACATTTTCGCGCTTGAGAACTGTGACGTTGTTCTATCGTCTGTGCCATTGGGCGCTAAGCCAGCGACGAGTGTGCCCAAAAGGGTGTTTCAGAGAAAGTGCGACCCGCCAGCGTTCCCAGCGGGCGCCTTAATGTCCGTTGTTACAGCTTCGTTCAACAAAGATGTGTCTTATAGTCAGCAGGAATGTATGCTGATATTTGAGACTCCATCCCACGCTTTCTTGCTTGCAAAACTTCGCCGAGTTCGGCGACCTTGAGGTTGTCCTGCACTGGCGAGTTCCAGATGATCGGAACCCTATGCACTGCCGGCACATCGCATCAAACAAGAGCTTTGCACTTGCGCGCATGGCCCTATAGGAATTCCTATGTAACTCGCATATTCTTTGGGTGCCCGAATTTCAATTCAAGCACCCAGCTAATACGTGAATTCGATCCAAGTCATCACACACTGTGTGGCACTCACGCACCACTGCTAGGTACTTCCCGTGGCCGTGCGGGCGCCCTGCCAGAACCTCTCCGATATATCGGTCCCCGTTGTCCGCGACGAGCTCTCCCTCCCTGCCGGCCCTTCCCCTTCCTGGCGAAGACAAAGGCCAGGAGATGCGTGAGTCTTCCACGGATACGTCATTGGCGCTTCAAGTGGCCGCCGGAAGTGGAATTTCGGCGCGGCTGCACTGCGCACAACTGCAAATGGCAAATTGGAAAATCAACAACGGCAACTTGAGAGCCGCATGGAAGGAAACCCGGTTGCAGCACATTGGTGGATTCCTGTTGCATTTCGAAATTCGGGAGACACACAAGAATTGCAAAGTATTCAATTCCAGATAATAGCCGCAGGTTGACAAACTTGTTATCGATCATTGACGCTTGGCTGCGCTTTTGTGGCTCTGAAATGAAGAATTCGCCAAAAGACATTCAGAAAATGTGGTAGCAAATGCAAAAAGATTGTCTAAAAGCACTTGTATTCCAATAGAACATTGAAGATTTTCGGCTACTAAAGTCAGCAAAAAAATCCTCTCAGTGCCGTTGTATGTTGTATCTTCAAAATACAAAAAGATTGACAGCGTGGAACAATGGTGTCACATTCTTGCCGTCACACATAATGGCCAGGAAGGCGCCGTCAGGTCCCTATATTGCGCCCAAGGCGAAAACTCCAGTTGGCACGTTCGATCGGAAACGGCCCCAGCGCTTTTCTTTCGATTCCGAAACACTAAAAGAAACGGAAAACAGTCTTGGCAGGTGGCCCCAGCCCATGTCCGCCCACGGCCCCCGTCCCCGCTCCGCACCCGTCACGGACGACCGCAGCGGGAAGCGCTCCGTGGACGCCACGCGCCACTGGCGCGGCGACTGCCGCCTGGGCAGGATGGGCCTGGGCCTTGAGGCCGCCCTCCGCAGCGCCAGGTGGCTGGGCGGCTCCGGCTCCCTGTACTTAGTGGACGGCCGCGCGCCGTCGCCGCTGCCGAACCTCTGGGAGGACCTGGAAGGGGCGTCGCGGGGCCGGGGGGCGGCGTCCGGCGCCATGTGGGCGGGTACGGTGACTGGAGGATCGGGGGGCAGTGGGGGCACCCCCGGGCCCAGGGGAGGTGGGTCGGCCGCCGTGGCCATTGGTGATGGGGGGAGGGGCACGGTTGAGAGTAACGGGACTGGAGCGTTGTGGGGTGGGGTGGGTCTTTGGCCCCTGTGGGGAAATGTGGGTCGGGGCCTACATTTGAGAGCGCGCATCTTGGAAGCCAGTTATTGTGGTGAATTCAACCCTTCCGCATCAAACAATAGTACCGTTACGCTTTTTGCTCCGGAATTTTTTCAGAGGGTTATTTTATTTTTTTAACGTTGCTGCGCAAAAAATTTTGAAAGAGCGCTATCCATTGTATTGTTTTCTCTGCAGGAAACGGCCAAGCTTCACGTTACTATGTAGAAGATTTGAATACACTACGGTAGGAGGGCGTTTTCTTAAAAGTTGTCGTGTGTGGGCACCCGCACTGGAGGACGAGGGACTCGAGGACGCCGCCCGTGCTGGCGTGAATTGGTCGACCTGATTGATCCACTTGGATGCTTTGGGAGCATCGGGAAGTTGTATGCGTCAGGGAGCGGATCACTGGCAAGAAAAGGTCGAATAATGTGATTTGAGAAACGCGCTGGGTTGCATGTGCTCCCAGCACACTACATATTGTTACAGTGTTTTCATCCGTTTCATTGTGTTGCACAGTGATCGAAAGCAGCTAATGGTTTCCCAAAGCGCCAAGAACACGAAATACAGTGCGCAAGCCAACATTTTGGGCAGAAAAGCAGGCGGTCTTCAATCAATGGGACACACCTTCGCAACAAGTGTTACTTGGCCCTTTCTTCCTTTTGAGTCGTTGTTGAGTTGTTTTTCCAATACACATGGAAATAAAATGCGCATTGATGCTTTGGGTAATGTCGGGGCAAGGAGTCAGCTGCCGGCTCTCTCTTTCGCCCGAGGCCAGCATTTCTGCTTTACTGGTCTCCTCTCCCCGTGGTTCCCCACACGACAATACATTACACACACACACAGTTGGTGTCCATCACCTCACTAATACAAAACCCGATGGGCGACCCACTTGAACGTGCCCTCGCTTCGCATACTACTTAATGCCACCCTGATGGTGACTCAACCCAGAGTCAGCTCCCCTTCCTTGTACTCAACTCCCTCTCCATCCCCCGGCTAACCGAAACTCACTCTATTAAGGTGGGCCGGGCGGGTGCGAAACAAGATAATGGGGGGCGCCAAGGGTCGCGCCTAAAATAGCCGCTCCCACTTGCCGCCAAACTCCCCGCCAAATTCAAGGGCCAGCTTGACCGGTCCCCTTGGCTGCGCCCAAGGTACAAGGCTCAACCCAACTGCCCTTGGATCCGCCGGGCAGAACTAACCCCGAGTACAGGGGGTGACAGAAACCGGCCAATGGATGGCCTCAAACTGTCCAAGAGGCGGAACGGCCCGAACTGGCCGTTACGCGCCCTCCCAATCGTCGCCCTTCGCAGCAACTCATTAACAGGATAGTTAATTATATTTCCACTGAGCTATTGGCCGAAACCCCAGTTTTGCAGCCGTGATCCATAGGCGGCCTGCAAGTCGCGGCTGTGGCTGCTGGGGCCGTGGGCATTGGCTGGCTCATAGCTGCACGATGCGTTTCAATTCGCAATGCGACTGTCTACATCACTAGGAAAAAAAGGGCCAAATAACACTTTTGTGAACACACGTAAAACACATTGCATCAAGGTTGTGCACACTATGAACACAAAAACAACACAAACCCGTAAACTTTGTACACGTTTGAACACGTGTTATTTGGCCCTTTTTTTCCTAGTGCATGTAACACAAATTCTGAAGTGCGTCAATGCTATGATGAACAATGCCCCTTGGCAGTTGATGTGGCAAATTTCTTCTCTAGTGACTACATTTGATAACATGTGTCCAGTTCGAGATTGAAACAGCGCAAGAGCCGGTGTAGATCTCCAACGGGTGGACCGCATCGACGGCAGTGTTGGCATATTTTCGCTTACGCAGCGTCGAACAAGGGTACATTTGACTGGAATTGCTGCATGTGATGATGGCCTTCATTGAAACATCCCCCCCAAGTTATTGTCAAAGGACGAAGAGAAGAGGGCACTCAAGTTATGTGGCGGAGAGAGCGCGTTTGTTGGTGCTCATACTGAATGTGTATGGAGACGACTCGTAGTCAGAATTTGTATTGACGTTGTTGTGGACGCAATGCCGTGGCTTGGTTCACAAAAGACGCACAGGTCAGAAGCCTTTCAAGCTACAACAAGGTGCACGCTGACTTTTGTCACGCTCATCGCAAACTAACGCAAAGGTTCCATCTTCCTTTTGGCGTCCATATAATTGACTCAAATGTGATGTCGAAGCTGCGAGCATTTCAAGTATGTCATGCAAGTATTTTTGTACACAGTAATAGTGTTCCTCACAGCATCGCACTTGTCACCACACCGCCAGCCAATCCGTGTGGTATGCAGCACACGTGCAGTGGCCCCAGGACCGCACGTCGTGAGGGCTTTTGCTATTTGGTCACGGGTTACCTTCGTGGCCTCATGTCCGCCTGCCGATCAACGGCCCCAGCCCACTCTGCCATGTAAATTTGCCATGGAGTCTGTCCAGGAGGGGGATGAACTTTGCCCTGTCCTCAATTACCAAGCTAATGGGCACGTGAGCAGAGGCGATTGTGCAGCCAGGACTTAACTTTTCCCCCAGTGACGCTGGCGTCCAGCAGCTGGACCTATCCTTCTCCCATTTTTTCGGTGCATATGGCCAGTCTGCGCTTCAAGCTTGTGCACAACTGTCCGACACCCTTCATTTCCACGCATGAAGGTTGTGAATGTCTTGTTCAGGTTTAGAATTTGCACGTTTTAGTTTCTTCGGCCCTTTGTACAATTCATGACTTTCATGACCACTTCATTACCTCCATTTCCGGAAACAATACTGGGCATTGGACAAACATCACCTTGTGGGATGCGCGGCAACGTCGTGAACAGTTAACGAGCTGACCATGTCAGCCAGGGCTTCATCGCCCTGGAGTCGGGCTTCGCTTCATCCAATCGGAACAACGCAATCACATTTCTGAGCAGCACTGAGTGCGCCCCGCCACAAGGCATTCAACATGTTACAGCGTCTATACCCTGCCTATCTATTTACCAATGACTCAGCCTCTGGGCTCTCGAGCTACCAAGCTTGCTACGGTTCACCTCACATCCACGGCACAGTTTTCCTCAGTAGCGTTTGAAGTCCCTGGGCGGCCTGAAGGCCACGGGGTGCGTCTCTGGGGTGGCCTCGGTGTCCTCTTTCCACATTTTGATGGTCTTGTCCGCCTCGCAGGTGACGAGCCGGGAGCCCGTGGCGTCGAAGGACATCGCGAAGACGCCCGCCTCGCTCTCCAGGGACCCTGGCTGGACGATGACGTTCTCCCGTTGGAAGCTGTTGCCACTCGTCCAGTCCCAGAACCTGGCAGGTCAACAGTTCCAATCAGCCACCAGGCAACGCCTGTGCTTTCTCTTATGTCTTTTGTGGACAACATCATCCAGAAGGTGAAAGGTCAGCGGTCCGCTGCGTTTTTGACAGATGCCATCAGCAGGGATTCTGCTACATGCTTTCCGCACCTGCTTTTGCCACCTTTTGAGATGCGGTTGGGACTCACGATCACCACTCTCTGCACTGTGAACGGACACAATCGTGGTACACTATCACAATGCAGGCAACAGAGTCATGCTGAGTTTAAGCAACAATACAAGTCAATCTTTGGGCACTGTGTTCCTTGTTGCAATCTGCAGTTTTTTAGGTGCAGCTGAAGTTCTATTCCATCTGTTTTCACGGTTCCCTGCCAACACAGCAACTGAAACAGGAAAATATAGAAAATCAGTATCTCTGTAAGAGCAGCACCAGCACAATGGCTGGGCATCTCCCAATTTTCGCAAGGAGCTTCCTTTGTTTCAGCTGTCACCAGCACTTCCCCATATGCAACATGCGAGGGTCCTCGCTGTGCTGCAACGAGGAACTTTGTCTGCATTCCACAAAGCATAAGACTAGGCTTGACCTTGGGTAAATACCACAATAAGCTCTGTTTTGACACTTCTGAATTTTCATCAGAGATACGGCTATGGACACAGCATTCAGGACACTCTGTGGATGGACCAGTGCCTGCCAGCCAGTCGAAATGCCAAAGGCGGCGCTGTGTGTGTCGACAGGCAGAAACCAAAGATGGGCATACTGCATCTGTCTTTCAGTCAATCAGGCCATAACTGGCATCCTCCACGCACCACAATGAACCATTGTCTCCTCCCGTCACCATCACGCCATCCTCATTAACAGCAGCCGCATTGACGATGGTGCGTTGCTGCTGCAGCATATTGTGCAGAAAATCGCCATTCGGTAGTCTGAACTTCTTGATGTTGTCCGCAGAGGCGGAGGCAAAGGCATGCTCGTGCGGGTGCAGTGTCATGGCCCGCACTGACTTCTTGTGGTATGTCAGTGTCGACATTGTGGTGTTGCCGCGCAGATCCCATAGCCTGATGCTGCAATCATGGCTGCCCGTGATAACCTACACATCAAGGCATGGATCCGGTCAGATCAGTGCGTCAAGGTTGCATTGCTGCTTCCCTTCAGGGGTGGAATCCTTGCATTGCATTTATAGTAAACAGCACAAAACACTAGGGGTTTCTGGGGCAGCAAAAAGTTGAAGGATCTGACCTGCCCAAGCACAAGCTGTTCTGCTTGATGATTTAACAATTTGGGGTAATTGGATGTCACTGCTGTCCATCATAAATCCAACTGGAAGGCATTCATCAGAAGATGATTAACAGCCACCCTTGCACTCAATACCCAATGTTGAGCACCATCCAAGCACAGCTGTTTGTGAACAGACTTCGTTTACAAAGTCTTTTGTTGCGGTCCCCGCTGCAGCTAGGTTGAATGACCAAACCCCACGTGGTAGGCTCTTTGACAGATGCCCAAACAACCACATCATTGCAAACCTCAGGAAACACATATGGTGCAATGGAAATTGGAGCTGGTTTTGGAGCCAAGAAATCGTCAAGCTGCCAATAACTTGGCAGTGGTACAGCAGAACTACAATCAGGCAGGTGATCAGCAGGCCCCATTATCTGTCCTCGATTCCTGTACAGCAGGTGACCAAAGATTGTCAATAATTCTGGAGCAAACAATGTGAACAGTGCTCATCGCCTTGTCGTTGCTGAAGTGGTGCTTGGCCCTTTGGCAGCAGTTGCAATCAAAGGAATGATGCCTGGTGTGCTGCACCAAAAATCTGACACATGGCAAGCAGTGTCCCTTCGCCTTTGCATCAGTAGCAGGCCAGCCCACCTGCGGGTCTGTTGCTTGCGACAGGATCGAGCACACTGTGTTGTCATGTCCAGTCAGGCAAAATATCTGCAGCTTCGTCCGCATGTCCCACACCCTGCAAACTGAGTCCCGTCCGCCTGACATCAGGATGTCCAGTGCAGGATGCAGTGCCAGTGAGTACACCCCAGACAGATGGCCATGGTAGTTCCTTATCACCTGTGGCACAACACTGTCAGAGAATGGATGGACTTGTGCTCATCATCGGCTGAAAAGTGCAACGGCAAAGCTTTGCCACTCTTTAGAAAAGGTAGCCAAGGCGATTGCTTTTCAGCTTCCACTGTCTGCAAGTCAAACCTGGCTGCATCGGGCACTTGTGGACAAGTGCCTGAATAATCAGTTGCCCCCACCTTTCTGCAGCAGCACTCTACAGCACACTGCACTGCAAGTTGGCACCAGAAGCACTGCTGACAGCTCACACGCAGCAATGCCACAAGGTATGCCAAATTTTTCGTTTCTGTTGGCAGATCTTGTCTGTTCAACACAAAAACCTTGTTGACAGCTAGGCTTACAAAATTATTTTATCGTCTGAGTCGAGTGCAGGTATGTGGCGTGAACAGTGGGTCATTTCATCTTGTCACTAAGGATGCATTCATCCCTGGCAGAATGTGTAGACCAATGTGCCCCCTGTGCTCACCTGGTGCACATTGTTCAAGAAGCCGGAGAAACCAGGAACAGAAGAGATGTCAATAGTGATTTGAAAGGCCTTGTCTATTAGTGTAATAATGAAAACACACACACACACAGGTGCAAATTGGGGAAGGCCGAACAGTACTCTGAACACACCACGAGGTTCCTGGGTGTTTGCCGCTACCGGAGCCTGCGGCCTTTGTACCTTATTGTACTCCAGATCCCAGCACATGACCTTCTTGTCCAAGCCACAAGAGAACATGTAGGGATGCCTTGGGCTGACTGCCAACCCTGTCACCTGCTCTATGTGCCCAGTCAAGGTCAATTTCAGCTTTCCAGTCGCCGTCTCCCAAATTTTGATCGTGCGATCTGAGGACCCTGTTGTAAACCACTCATTGCTGGGGTCAAAGGCGATCGACCGGACCCACCTGATGCCAAACAAAACAGAAGTGAGTGCAGAACTTGCTGATCACCATAGGTGGAAGCCACAGGAAGCATGCCAAGATTGCCCGGACCTGACTTTGACATGCCTATTTCTTGAGAACAATCTCTTTGCTGTTCGGTCAGTGAGAGGAAAGTCGCTGTCTTGCCCTTGCGTTTCACCAGTCACACGTTTTTGGGTGTGTGCAGTTCTAAGCACTCAGCATTCTGTACATTGTACCATTGTCTGACACGCGCAAGCGATTTCTGTTGTCTGAGTAAGGATGGCCACTGACCTCACACAGTCATAGTCTGCTGTCTCTTGGGCGCTGCGTAAGCTTTTGCTCCTCCCAGTGCCCCCAGGTTTTACAATGGCAGTGCACAACTCAACTGTTGAGCTGCATATCCAGTGCCTGGATCTGGGTCCCAGATATTTCATTCGAATGGAGAGTAAAGGCACAAACATGGGGTATTCGGCAAAGACAATGATCGGACTGTGAGGATAAGATGCTTTTCCTATTTGGTATTGACAAGTGCCAATATCCATACCCAAATCGACACAGGTTGTTATACTGCAGACTTCCTGCGAATTCCGCTTGTGCTGTTCAGCACACAAGCTTCTAAGTCAACACATTGCTGACAAGGAGAAACATCAAACCACGATCCATAAAATATTTTATTGAGTCGAGTCACAAGTAGCACCAATGCAGTTGTCCATGCATCACTGCAGAACGCCATCTAAGCAACTCTCCACAAGGGTTGAGCCTTTCCAGCTGTGGTTGTTCGTACCCCAGGTGGCTTGAGATGACCCTGTAGTTTTTCCACGGGGCATGCCACACTGGCTTGGGCCACTTCGACGCCAGACGGCGAGACACCGCTGCACTTGTCATCTCTGCTTTCTTGCTCTCAACAGGGACTGTCAGTGTCCGGTTTGTGAATGACACCAGTTGCTTGTCTTTTCCCGTCTCAGCAGCCCTGCAAAATCATGGTCACAGACTAATATGAAACTGGCAAAGCGTTCGACAGCTCATGATCACATTGCCTTGGATCTTTGAGTCCAAGTTTGTCCATGTGGCCTTGCCAAGAGATGGGTGCAGAACAGTTATGCTTGGTCTGTGGCTAAATCTGCACTTATAAACCCCGCCTTTGATCTGTTGGCCCACACATGTCTACAGATCGCCATCCAAAGCAAAGGAGATGTTTCAGGCAGAATGGTGTGCGAAGTACCACACAACTGCTGCTGCTGCTTTTGGTCACTGCTATGTGCTAATCTGTTGTGTTTGGCAAATTCAACATTGTTCTTCATTGTCCCTGTTCATGAATCGTAAACCCGATGGGCACAACCCCATATCCAAAAAACATATGCTTGTGAGAAGCAGTCAATCTTGATGGAGCAATTTCAGCAGCAACCATGCATAAGATTCAAAACAGGTATATCATTGCAAACCCAACATCAGCAATCAGAAGATGAAGGGGGCAGTGACTCCTCATGCTTTGAACAAAGAACGCCACCGATGAGAACTGACAGATCCTGCACATGAACATCCTGCCATAGCTCCTATGCAGACAGGCATGGAGAAGGCAGCAAGAGAGCTCAACAGCCAAATGACAGATATGCCCAGGCAGCACAGGGACGGAAACAGAAACTGCCAAGGACAACACCAAGCATCTGTAGCTTGCCTGTCTGCTGGCTTTGGCATCGTGTCTATGAGTTTTGCCACGGCACTCTTGGACTCCAGTTTTGGGTCCCTCGGTGCGGTATCCGCATTTCTGGATCCGATGCCTTCTTGTGCCCCTTGGTTGGGCATAGCTTGAGGCCCAGCTGGTGGAAGCGTGGGCCCACGTTTGTCCTTTGTTGGCAAGTCTTTGACAGCAGCGTATTCGTCCCTAAGCTGAAAGAGATCGGAAGTCAGGATGGCATATGTACAAATTTGGGTGGCCACAGGCATCGCCTTGAGGCTCCTCGGAGCTTGACAGTCAATCCTACTCGGGCTTTTCAGCTGCACAGACCGCAACATCTGGAAACTTTCGGTAGAACAACTTTTCATGCTTGTGCCAATGCACTTCCCAAAAAATGTGTAGGTTCTGTGCGGCGATTTCGAACAGCAATCCAGCCCCAGAGGGCACGTCTGCCAATACGCATAACAAAATTTGATGCTGCATTTGGCCTGCTATGGCCTTGAGCCACGGCCAGAATTGCCTTAAAGAGCAAAAACAAGGGCATCTCACCTTGCATGCTATCTTGGCTCGTTGACTGCGGCCAGAGATGGACAATCGGCGTCAGTGTGTTGCTTGCAAAGCGAGCAGCGAGGCCACCCCAGGTCCAAAGTCAATTCGGCGAATCGCGTCAGCGCTACACATTAGGACATCAATGCCCCGTCAACCTGCAAGATACCCCTGGCGGTGCGATCGACACAGCCAACACAACGTCCCAAGCAACAAAGCCCCTGGCTGGCCACATGCCCTGCAAAATCACCCACGCAAGGGGTCCAACACTGGCGGCGATCGTTCGGCATTCCACCACTACAGCCCAGACATGAGGGCCCAGCTGGCAATGCATGGCCAGCTCGGTGACGCACCTGGATTCGCTCAGGGGCAGCTGCTCGCCGTGGTTCTGGGCGAACATGTCGTGCGTCCGCTTCATAGTCAGGAGGGCCATCGCCTTGACCGTCTTGCGCTCCACGGGCAGCTCCCGCGCCGCCATCGTGGACTGAACCACGGGCGAGCGCGGGCTGGACGCGGCCCCCGGACGATGTCGCAGACGCCCCAGACACAGCCGAAGGAAAAGCAAAGGTGAACAAGACGCCGGTCTGCAGTTTTTTTGCTCTTTTCTCTACATTTTTGGGGCGGAGCGAATTATATAAGCACTTTTCTCATGCTTTTGCAAGAATGAACTATTTTCAAGTAAAGTACCAGGTCGGAATTCCGCGCGTGCGGACGCACGCGGTCCTCTGGTTGACCCGGCCTCGGCCTGTCCGCATGGGTGAATGTAGAGGCATGAAATGGCGCTGACCTATTGCAAGTACGGGCACAGGCCAGGGGTTCTGTCATCTCATTCGGAACATGGAAAGGGCGGGAAACCCAAAACGTTACGGCCTAACGGTTGGGCTCTGAAACATGTCCACCAAGTCGATGCCTCAATCATCGGAACAAAGTTGTTGAATTTTTAATGGCTTGGCGTGGATGCAAATGGGACGCAGCACGGCCGCGCTGCCAGGATAACAAGCTTTGTGCAGCGCTGGCATCGTCTGGGCGAACAGCGGTTTGGTAGGGTCGCCAGCATATCTGGAGGAGTTTTTTTCAAGATTCTGTTTCATGAAAGTAGAAGGCAAGAGGAACAAAGGAAACTGCGTATGTTGCCTTTCTACCCATTTGAAACTGCACATCAAGAGATTCTTTAACGGGAGAGGAATATTTACACGGTCTTCGAGCTCCAAACGGTGCAGGGCCGTAAAGTGCAGTCGTTTGTCAAGTATTGAAGTTGAATTGATAATATGCGTCAGCACCGTTATTAATGAAGTCACCAAGGTTTGCAGATTCTCTACTTACTGCCTACAATACTAGGCCTACATGCGCACACACGCCAAGAAGACCCACGGCCCGCTTGTATGGAGCGTATGGACGCCTGCGATGTTGGCTTCATGTTCGCGCACAAGATATCGGCCCGTGAGATGTGCGTGGATCGATCGTGGATCGATAGACGGCAGCCACGTCCAGGATGGGCATTGATGGGAATGAGATCGATCTCACGCGCGAAGAGCGAGGCGGGAAGCCTTGATGACCATACAAGAACGGAACTTCAGCCTCATACGGTGGTCTAATATGTGCGGATTTTAGACATCGATAGAATCATCTGGTGGTGGTGATGTGCACAAGTGACGTCTATGCATTGGTCGCGGGTTTGAACGCGCCCAGTCTGATCCCACCGCGTATTGACAGCACCTAGACTGGGCAAGGCACAGCCAAGGCCTGGGAACTCGATGGATTGGCTGTTTGACGCTTGGAGAAGAAGTTGGCATTGAGAGTCGATGCACTGAGCTCCTGGGAGTCGACTGGTTCGGGATGATGGGATGTATCAGGCTGTACTTTAAGCACATCTAAAAATGTTGGTGAGCGTTTCTGGCGATCTAAAATAGACTGAATGCCTGATCGTAATGCTTTCGGCAAATAATTCACACGTTGCACTAAAAGTACTCCTTGTCCCGTTGCGATGCTGTTCCAGTGCGTGAGAATTGACCCCGTCTACTTGATTCAGGTGTGGTCACCTGGGCTGATGCGGCTTGTGCAAAAGCGAACAGCTGCTGGTCCCGCTTCAGCGCGGTTATGAATTTGCGATTTGGTCTTTTGGCACGATTTAAGTACAGCCGTAAACACTGTGAAACGGTGAAAATTTGGTTGAGTCAGGTAAAGGAATATTCTTTTACAAGCAACATCTTGATGTTGATTCTATTCAGTAATGGTGCTCACAATAAACATTGATCATATATTCTGCACAAGGTCAATATGGTGCTTGACCCAACCAGTGAGCGCCAATCAATAAGCCCGATCAGCGAGTGAAATGTTGCACGGCCTGCTATGGCCCTGCAGAATTTATGTACTTGCTGTGCTACGATGACGTGTATACATACTAAATACAGCTAAGAATTTCCTTTAAAAGGTGACGCATATTTTTATTGTGCACGCATCGGTGCAAATGAGTAGATACTATCGGATAAATGCGTCAAATCCACGAGTTCAGTTGTGCGCGGTTGCCTTGAATGGTTACATAATCACGATTGCGAAGTTAGATGGATAGCTATCCGTTCTGACCGAAAGGTTTGTGTGATCAGCGGGGCTGGGGTTGAGTGTGCATGATGCTGCAGTGTGGTGTCCATGAGTCGAGCACGCACGATGGGACATGTATGATAGAAAAAAAGCGTGACAGAAGCCGTTCGAACCATGGGCGCAGATTTTATTTTTAATTTCGATGCATCTTTTAATTTAAAAAATTAGATTCACGGCAACTTCTAAATCGGGTGTTGTATGTTGTTCCCCCACCCCCAACCCCACCCACCCTGCCCGGCTGACATTGCGAAACGACCAACAGTCAGATTCGACTGCAGATACGAGCGCTTTTATGTGGCATTGCCTACACAGAAGTGCTGCCGTATATACGGGATACATATGTAGGATACGGGATATACCTTAATGGGGATTGCCTGAAACGGTTGATGGGTCACCGGCGATTACCCTCTTTTCGAAACGAGAACTTTAGCTACATTCTAATGCACGAGGCGCTCGTTGAGATCATTTTGGTGAGCGCCGCGTGTATAGAAAATGAATTCTTTCGTAAGAATTTGCGCTGTCTGTACATGATGGTACGAACAGCACAAATTTTGTATGAAAGAAATCACTGCAATGCTTTCTGTGGTGTTCAATAATAACAAGTGACAGTGGGGTACAGTACCAAAACCACGAATGCTAATAATGATCCACATGTGAGAAGAGCATATGCTCTTCTCACCTGCATCTTCATGCATGAAGCACGCAATTCAGATCATGCTTCTTGATCCATTACTGGAGCAGTTTAAAAGATATGTATATTGTAGTTGTAAAAGTGTGGAACTTATTTTGGTAGAGTTTGTGACATTCATTAATTGAAATGGCAAGCTTTTGGCACCGAGTCCCCTATCAGGAAGAATCTTGTCACCAGATCCAGCGATACCCTCGAAACACTATTTGAATGGCGTGCAAGACAGGATTCCATCCGACGGAGGGGCGAAGGTCGACAACGGGCTACCAGGGACTCTGCTACCTGGGAAACTTTGTAGGCACGATTGGAGCGGAAGTATCTGCGGCTTATTTGGACCAGCATTTCGACTCGCTCGACATCGCCCTGTCCTCCCGCCGCGATCCCAGCTGAATGGACTGGCGTTGGGTTGGACGCGGGATGTTTGAGACGGCAGGGGCACTGGATACTTCCACAGCTCCGCGTGGAACACTGCTGTGCGAGAATTTGTTCAATGTGGCTGCAAAATGTGCACTGCAGCGGCTGGTTCTGTGAAGCACTAGGCTTCTTTCAGCAATTGCTGGGCCGTAGTACTCAGGTGTGCGATAAAATACCCTGATTTTTGCCACTTCCGCGGATCTCCTTTTGCACTTGTGCGGTGGGTTCCAGCCGATGACATCAGCTCGTCGTTTTGCGACATGCCATCGTACAGCAGCACGCACGCAGTCCACATGACCCTCGCCAGGTGACAAGAATGCCCCCTGCACTAGGAAAAAAAGCGCCAAATAACACTTTTGCGAACACACATAAAATACATTTCATCAAAGTTCTGCACGCTAAGAACACAAAAATAACACAAACCCGTAAGCTTTGTACACGCTTGAACACGTGCTATTTGGCCCTTTTTTTCCTAGTGCTGTTGTCATTCCATTTCTTACGCCATCAATGCCATTTCTTCCCGCCAATCGCTGTCATTGCGCAAGTGCAGCGTCATGGCGCTCCCCGACAACCTTTGCGAAAGAGCCAGCGCCATTCCATTTTTTAACATCCGCCAGGAAGCACCATATTGGAGTCAGCAAAGCCGCCTTGCCGCAATTTACGTGATGATTGATTGGTGCCGGTTGATGGGGCCCGCGCAACGCCACAAGGGTGCAAGGGTTTCTGCTTTCCATGTGACAAATGCAATCAGCTGTTGAATGAATGAATACCCTTACAGGCAACGTGAAAATTCGACACATCGGTCATGTCACACCTCTCTGCTGAACTTAGATGGTCAAACAGAGCACCCTTGCTAGAGGTCTACACTGACCTCACAGTGATTGGCAGCAATGGTTGGATTGCGGCAATGCCTTGGGTTATCATGGAAGAAGCCAAGGACACTGCTTTGCTCGGGCAAAAGTACTATCTCAGCTCCCTATTAGGGAGGCGATGGCCGCCTGCTCTCCTCGATATGTAACAACTCTTGACGATGACGACGATAAATGTAAACAAAAGCAATGCCGGGTTGCTCCAAAATGAACCATCCCGACAGCCATCATTTACGGCTGATCAATCAATGCAATGAAAGCGAGGATTAACGCGCAGCCCGCCGGCGCGGTCCGGCGCCCGACGCCCGGCCCCTCGGCTGCGAAGACAACCTCGTCCGCGCCCGCCCGCCAGGTCCAATCACCCCCATGGGACGCCTCGATCGGCCCCCCTTGGCGGCCAAATCGCCGCCCCTCCCGGTAACGCTCTGACACCGCCCTCTCGAGCGGCAGCAACACCGGCAGGGCGCATCGGCCGCTCGTGACCGCCCGTGGCCCGTTCGAGGTGATCGCCAGGAGGCCCCAATCGGAGGCGACGGCGACGTGCCGGCGAAGCTGACTGGCCGGCGCCACATGGCCATGGCGGTGCCCCATTACCGGTGCCAGCCGGCGGGTGGGGCCGGCCACGGGCGCAACCCTGCCACCGTGAGGGTGGAGTGCACCGCCGCGGACTGCGGGGCGCTCTTGGAGGTGCGGGCTTGCGACCCGGGCTGGGGGGGGATACCCTATTGGGGGGGGGGTGTTGGCACTGTCGGAAGCTGCAGGGCAGGCTGCCCGGAAGTCTGGCCTGCGCGGAAGGGTGCGGGCGGCGCGGGGGGTGGGGGGGGGGGGGTGGGGGGGGGGCCGAATTCCTCGGCGCCGGCGCGCGAGGCGCGGATCGGCGGGCGGATCGGCAGGCGGATTGAATCGAATCGAGGGCCGCATGCATGGGGCCGCGCGGTGCTATCGCGGGTGACCGCTGGGATGCCGCTGCCGCCTCGGAATTGAAAGTCGGTAATGCGTAGCGATGCCAATTGGCCGAGCAGTGTTGGGCATGTGGCGTGGTGGACGCCGATGGCAGGTGACGTGAAGTTGGGATGGGTCCCTGTTCACTTCAGCAGCAGCCCCCTGCTCAGCACCTGGTGTTGGTCCTCATCGTGCTGATGACGTGAAGCTGGGCTCGGTGTCTGTCCGCTTTAGAGGCAGTGCCCTGCTCAGCACCGGGTGTTGCTCTTTTCGGCGTGGTTGCTCTTGGTTTCCTTACACGAGCAAAAGGCACTGAGATGATTACTCCACGCTGCTTCGGGTTTTCTGCAGTCCCTGCGCCCATTGTGGCGCCGAGGGTGGGCACCTCGATGCGGGAAGCGATTGATGGTTTTTCACAGCTAGGCAGGGGTTTGTCGACATATCGGGACGCATACCTGGGCAAGCATTCGATGAGTGCGTCTTGGTCCACATTCAATGATTTGTAGTGTGCCCACAGGTCAATGTGCCTCAGGAGCAGGCGTCGCAGAACCCGTTGGTCGTCAGATGCGGGAACTGCAAAAAGTGAGTGAGCAGGCGCCTGGGGCTGTGATTTGGATCAACACACTGTTGGCAAAAGGGTTGCCGGAACAAAACCCGGAAATTGTGTCTTGCAGCGCATTGGCGTAGGTCCTCGTAATGTGCCCTGCCCATTGGCCGCATTTTCATTCTTTGCAGCCATCCAATGACAACAGTGCATTGCCGCTTTGGAGGAACGTGATTTATGAACTGTTTGCGAGCAGTGATGAATAGCTCACAATGGTATACACTTTAATCAAAAATGATTTAGTCCAAAAAAAATTCATCGGCGTGTTGCCAGCGCAACGGTTGATGGGCCAGTACTTTGTTGGTGTGCCATGTTTGGGACAGATATATCCAATATCATTCATTTGTGGACAAGCAGGTCGTGAAGGTCATTTTCGGGTTTGTGTTTCAGGATTTGAGGGCCCCCTTACCCAAGGCCCGTTTGCGAATTCATGCCCATATATTATGGGTATCAGGCAAACGTCGTTTTTGCAAACGGGCCCAACTGTTGTGATCTTGCCTCTGGTTCAGGAACCTTTCTTAACCGAAATAGCGCTGGCAGAAGGTTAGCTGCTCAAAACAACGACATTTTCTACTTGGAGCGTTCTGAACATGTTTGGGGTTGTTAAGATCCAGAACATGGTGCACCAAAGAGTATCGCAGCAAATCGGGCTACAAGTAAATGAACATGAAGGTGAACAAAGGAGATAACGTAAACAAACGCGTATAATTCGTGGCCAAACATTTGGGGCCGTTTTGCAAGCACAAAGCGCAAGCATTGACTCTGGCGCCTCTGTCTGCTCAGATTACTGCAAGTCGAGCTGTTTGAGAAGCAGTCAAGCCCCGAGGACGATTGTGCACACTATGGGGCGCCGCACATGCACACCTCCAGCCCACAGCCACCTCCGACGCCTCCATCTGCCCAGTCGCATGTTTATGATGTAAGTCGCTCCAACAACGGCATTGGGCACGTGACTGTGGGCAGTGACGCGATGCCAGTGCTGTCTTGGTCCACGTGCTTGTGTATTCGAGCTTTGTGCGACTTAAATGGGCGTATGCGGAGCAGTGGAAATTTTGGGTTGCCTTCTGCGCTTTAAGTGTTGATTACAGTGGTCAAATCCAGCAATGTGTGCTCACTGTTGGACCAATTGCCGCACACTGCTCAGTGCATGCTGATATTACGAATGCAGAACGATGACCAGGCTCAGATATCAACTGTTGAAATGAGCAACAACTCAGTGGCCGTGTCACCATCATATGCTGGGCAATGGGACGTGCTGTCTGAGAAGCACCCCATTCTCCACACTGTGATCTATCTTTATACTGCAAAGTGCAGTTTAACACGTGCTGCGCTTATCCAAATCGCTTATGTATAGCGCACCACGTGTCTAGCGTGCCACAATGGCGACCATTTGTAATTTTGACTGCTTTTGGGCCTTTTATTACCTGTGATGCAAGACCGTGGGTAAGACCTCGATTGTCCAGTATAGGACTGATCAATTGCTCTGTGTGCAGCACGGTGGCACGAGGAATGCCATCCAAGTGCCGCAACTCACCATGCCGGCCCCGCTATCCCGATCCTTGTTCCGAACGTCGTGCTCTCCCAGATCATCTGACCCCCAGGTAGCCAACCCTTCACCCCAGCGTTCCATCGCTTGCCTTGTTGAAATGCAGAGATTTGCAACGGACGCAGAATGGTTTTGCAGCAGCCTTGAGACCATGCAACAGGTGTACTGATGGCAATACACGGTTGGGGCAGTGGGCGTCAACTCATTTTTGATGCGTGCTCCGCTTCTTTTTGATGTTTTGGGCAAGGGCATGTATCAGTTCCACATGATTAGTGCTCTTTCGCACAGCTATGATCCGCTTTGGCTTTTTTTCTTGAGAATCATAGCTGAATTGTTACTGAACACTTCTGAATTGTTATTTCAGTATTGTGTGCCGGCGACCTGTTACTGACAAAGAGGCCAAATGCTTGCTGGATCAATCTTCTAATGATTGTTGTCTGTCAATGCAAGTTCGAATTTCAGTCTCTGTGTTGTCCCAATCCTTTTTGCAATGTGAGCTCACCTTTCCTCAACTCTCTGCCCGCAGTACTCCCACCCAATGGCCAGCCACTACCTATCCCCCAGCGACCCCTACTACCAGCCCTACCCCGCGAATTTCGGCCCTCCCCAGCCCCCTGGCGCCCGAGTGTACCCAGGCCCGGATGCGATGGCCAGCCGCGGCCACCTGCAGACGCATATGGGCTCGCGAATGAGCCACTCCTCTGCCCACAGCTCACGAAGGTGGAACATGGGTCCGGGCCACGTGGAGGGCCATGGAGGATTCAACGGCCTCATGGCCTCCTTTGGGGTGCCCCATGCAAGGACCGCCGGGGGTCCCTTCTTCCGTGAACCAAGCGAAATGTCTCTGGAAGATGGGAGCCGACAGAAGAAGAGTGAGAACGGTGCCCAACGCAAGCCCCCGCCTGGTTCTTGTGTTGCAAGGACATCCAATATATCCTGGCAGCACTGCGTGTTTGTAAATCAATTCACACAGTTGTGTGTGTGCCGTGCGCATGTCATCCTTTTGCAGCTGTCCTGCGAGCGGCATTGAATATTCAGCTGCGTATGCACATCTACCGCAGTTGGATGACACCGTTTTTGCTCCTGTACGTGCTTTCGATCACCCTTTGCCTACTTTTACGTTTTGTATCGTCCTTGGGGTCAGGAGGTGAAGAGCCTGCCATGGAGGCGGCGCCACGGCCTGCTGTATTTTAGAAGCGTTCGATGACTGTTTTCCTTCCATCGGCATAGTGCCAAAATTTCCAGCAGTCGATTTAATGGTTAGGATCCTTGCACACTGGCTGATCGCGGGTTATTGTGACCATCTGACACCCTGCCATTAGCGAGACTAGGATGTTTGCAAGTTCTGCAGCTTCCACAACGGTTACTAAAACTGCCAGGGGAGTTTGGATGCGTCGCTTAAGTGTAAGACTGTGTTTGTTTGCACACGCAGCGAAGCGAAAGAGAACGCCATCGCCCTACAATATGTTCATGCGGTGAGTCGAAAGTTCCACAGGCATAGAATCAGGCTCTCAGGCAAGAATTATTCACTTCTCACAGTTCTGGCGGTCTTGTTTCTGACAGTCGTTCTGGCATTCGGACAACGAATCATACAGAAAAGTGCAGCTAAATATTGCGTCTTGTGCCAGCCTGCAGAGAGAGCGAAAAGTAAGCTTGTTCAGACAGTGTTAAATTTGTTGACATCCAGCAGTAGAGGTGTAAGCAGTTACATATAAAGCACTGAGTGTCCAGGGAATAATGGCTGGGGTTATAGTGTGTTATCTTGTCCTCACATTTGTTCCCCCTTGTGCCACAGCAGTGCAATACAGAGCAACGTCAGTTTGAATGGCTGCGGATGTGCTCGAAATTCCTTGTTGCAAGTAACGGTGCACATGAACAAAATTTTACTGAAACTCTGAATTGGGGCTGAGCTAAGATGGACTTGGTGTTCAGAGAAGAGGTAAAGAGGCTGAAGGAAGCTGACCCCGGACTGGACCACCGGGAAGCTTTCAAGATGGCTGCCAGCAACGTGAGTAGTGCGATGCAGTCTGAACTTTCCCCTTTGTTTTGCGCACATCAATGTAGCTAGAATTCCTGCTCTGAAACAACATTGTGGGGTGCTGGATTGGGAATTGCGGGTGCCCAGTTGTGAGTTTCGAGTAGCGATTGCTTCGAAATTGAATTCTTATTTGATTCGTAAACAGACAGCGCCTCCAGGTTAATGCTAACTTCAGCAAACTTGGACTGTTGACAATGGCCGTCACAGGCAAGCTTCAGGTCCACAGGTTCACTTTTTACTACCTTTGCAGCTTCAGTTCCTTGTAACTTTTGAGATTGATTCTAATGCTGCATTTACAAATGGCAAACTTTCTTTCCAAACATGGTGCAAGCTTTGGGGCAATACATCGTGTTTGTGGATAAAACCTGTATGAATCTGAGTGCGATGTAAATTTCAGAGAAAAACCTGTGGTGCATGATTTACTCCAAAATTGATAGGCCTGATATGCAGCGTGCTTCTGTATATCTTAAGCAAAGATCGCAGAAACAGAAACAAAAAGCACACAAATATTAGTCAAGTCAATATTAGTCCAAATTATGCGTTGCAATATTCACGGTCTTTGGTGGGTTGTTCCAAAGATGCTAATCCCCTGTGCGTCTGCCAGTGGGCCAAGTCTCCCGACAAGTGCCGGGGCGCCGCCTACGGCTCCTACATGCAAGCCATGGCCAAACTGCCCAACCCCAGCGGCAAGCCGCCGACGGCAGGCATGGCGGCAACCTCCAGCGGCAGCCCATTTCCCGGCAGCCTGTTCGGCGGAGCCTCCGGGCCCCAAGGATCGCAGACCGGCCACCCGACCGCCCACCCACAGGACAACGCGATTCGCTTCGAACAAGGCAGTGCGGCGCCGAGAGGCGCCCCTTCTCCATTTGGTGCCGAAGCTGTGGCGGATGCTGGGGCACTACACGGTGGCTCGAGTCTCGCCCCCGCCAGTCCTGGTCTAGAATGGAACGGCGACGGCGGAGGGCACTGCGACGCGGCTGGGCTGATGGTCCCGCGCGGCTCCCAATCAGACCAGGGCCTGGAGTGCGCGATGCACCCTGGGCATGTCGGCATGGCACTCGGGGGTGGCCCCTGCGGCGCCGTTCCCACGAGCGATGGATTGCCCGAGGAGGGTTTCGGCTTCGGGGGAGAGGGGCTTGTGGATGGCCGCCACGGGTCGAAGACGGTGGAGAATCCCGGGGACGAGGGCTGTAGGGAGCAGGACGCCTCTGGGCCGTACCGGTGCTTCATTGTGCCGGCCGATGGGGACAGGGTCTCGGTGACACTGGTCCCCGATGTTGATGCGGAAGCGCGGTGAGGTGCTCCCCCGTCAGCGTGGGGTGCTGAGTTGCCCGAGCCTTCAGCAGTGGAGGGAGTGGAAGCAGCCGCTGCCCAAAACAGCCACTGCCCACGTTAGTGCAAAACGCCATCACACAGCTGCTTCTGCACTGGTGCAGGTCTCCGAGGAAGGCTGCCGCCAGGAGGAATGCGGGCAACAGGCCCAGGAATGGCAGAACTGCTCCGGCAGAAGGGGATGGTTCGTTATTGGTACTTCGTTTAAACAGCCTTCGACAAAGGTGCTAACCGTGTCATTCGCTTGGATTTGGAGCTCGTGAATGGATGACGGGTTGCCAGCTCTCTCCTGTTGGCAGGGGCATGCAAAGGAGCCCCCTGGGTGCCATGGGTCCAATGGCCATCCTACTGTCGCAAGTTTGAGCTTAGAAGAGTGAATCCAGCAGTTTCGTGACCTGTGTCAGTTCGTGTACAATATGGACCGCCTCTAGAGCCTGGCGGAATCCCAAAATTCGAGGTTGCTTTCCACGAATCTTGACTGGGGTGAGGATAGGGACTTCAGCACGCCGAAACTGCTTGTCATTGTGGCTGTTGTAGCGCAAAATGCCCACCCACGTGGTGTGCCACGTGTTGGAGCAGCTGCCGTTCTATCGCCACAACTGTGGCACGCTAAAGTCACGGCAGCACCCTGGACACGAACCTGGGCAGGCACGCCGAAGTCGCAGGGGTTCCCTGTACCTGGGAAGTTCATAGGATGCTACGAGGCCCTCGTAACTTGTTGCCTATGGCCTGTGTCATCCATGAACGTCGTCATCTCCGCATCCGGTCATTTTGTTCCCCAGCAACCCGTGGGGTCAGACATTGCTACACGATTGATGTCCGGCCTGGCGACTTGGTTGATCCAGACAACAATGGCGGTCGGTGCGGCCGGCAGGGTCTGACGCCCTGTCCTGTCACATCATGGAGTGTTCACAGCGGCGAGTCGGGTATCGTAGGTCGCACTATTGGTGAGACACACAGCCTTTAACACCTGTCGCAGGAGGTCACAATCGCGGCATCGGTATCACACACCCCAAACACATTCACCCCGCTAGCATACCTTCACGTTATTACGCACAAAATTAAGTTGTTGTTGTAAGACGCCATGGTGGTTTTGGTACATGTACCACGCAATGGTTTGAAAGGGGGGAGGGCCGCCACATCGATACGCACCAGATTAAGCTGTTAGGAGGGTCAGGACACCAACATGATTTCAGTACATTTACCAACAATGAGGAAGGGGGTGCTCGTGTACTTATACCAACAGGAGCATTAAAATCAAAGCAGTGTCTTCTCTGAGACTGACCAACTGTTACAGTGGCGTTGAGGCCATTCACTCTAGGATGTCCACTGGGTGCAACGCTTATCCAGGTGAAAAAAATCACCTTCCTCCACAGTATCTGGGACCTTCGACGGGTGTTGAAAAAAATATCCATTTGCGATGAACATACACAGTGTTGTGAGTGTTTGCCTTTCCTGACATCACACGTCAAGTGGCACATTGTGCCAGGCACACCTGGATGTGTTCTGTTCATCTGAACTAGAATGGACTTCGCACCGATGAACCGCCATTAAAAGAGCACTCAACGCACCCACGGATGTTCCCACTCGTGCAATTGGCTACCCTGCCATCTGACCTGGATTCACCGAAAATGCACCAAAGAAAATGCGCCAAGCACTGTGTGCACGAAACAGGTTAGTCAACCCGCCAAACCATGTTCTCTCGATTCTTCTCTGATCCTTGCCACATGGCACCACAGCATGACCCATGCTTGGCGCCATGGCACAGCAAGGCTTCCCACAAATGCCACACCCCTGGCACCCTCAAACGCCCCTGTCCAGACTCAAGGTGAGCTGTGCTAGCAGCGTTCCATTCTGTTCAACACTCTATACAAATCACCCGCACCCAATCGAAAAACAGTGGTAATGAAAAAACGCTGCACAATGCATATGGCAAAAGAAACGCATCTCCAAGCATGCAGCTGATCTATCATCCAGCGGACCGTACACATGCGTGGTGTATGCCTCGTGTGTTTGCAACCATCAGCAGCTCCTCATGGGGGTAATGGCTGCGGTGAATGCAGCCCTCAACATAACGAGAGGTTCATTCTTTCGTTGTGTGCACAAACCAACGCCAACGCCATCAACGTGGCTTAGCTCGCCAAGCAAGGCGCGAGCATGAGCAGGCAAAGTGCCGGAGACGGCAAGAAAATCGCGACACCACGTCCACACATTGCAAAGACGCGGCACAAACACGAACGCACAAGGTGCTTGTAATCAAATCGAGGTTCCACAGCGTTCTTCACGCACCCGTAACAGTGCGTCACCCCCAAAAGCAAGAAAGCGAAATTGGTCATGTTGGCTATGGAGTGAAAGCAATCTGCACCCGACAAGGCTGAAATCACGTCGCCGTAGTCCGCGACCTGCAGCACACGTGAGTGTATCAAAATTTGAGTGCAATGACTGTATATCACGGAATGCACATCGCCCCAGCGCGTTCACCATGTCCTGGGGACCGCCAGAAGCTTCCTACATTAGTGGGGTATGTGGCACCCATTCCTCGCGTGTCTTTCGTGAGGTAGGCCACGCCAAACAACGTGGATTCATTAATGGCCGCCTGTGAGTTGCCATGGTAAAGTACAATGTCTCAGCGCCCCTAAACCAGAAACTATACGATGTTGAGAGACCACAGTGCTGACAATCGCAGACTGGCGCCAGAACAGCCGTCCGCACGTATACGAGCAACAGCCCTGTAGGTGCGTGGCAAAAAACACATACATGCAAGGCGAAGACGACAACCCCTGCAAGCAGTGCCGCATAGGACAATGTCTCCACGAGTCCCAGCACTCCAGCAGGGCTGGTAGGCAGCACTTCCGAATCCGCCGAACTGGATACGCGCTGCATCAGCGACCTTCCCGCGATGGCCACAACTGCTAGGTAGCTCACACCCTCAAGGCCACCAAGCAGCCCTCCAGGGCCGGGAGGCAGACCGCAGCCTGCGCAAAGTTGCATCCAAATTTCGAATTGGCTTGTGTCCAATATTGAAATGCACTTGAACTTAGCACTGCAACACGAGCCTAACTAATGTAATACCAGTCCTCAGCTCATAAGCCTGCAATAGGCAGCAGATCACCAGGGCTTTCCTGTTCGCAAAAGATCAAGACACGCAATGGGCAACCAGCTCCGCAGCAAAGCAATTCAAGGGGCTCTTTTCCATCCTGATGTTGGTGATGCAGCAGTACCCAAATGCGGCAAAAAAGCACACGGCTGACACAGTATGTGGCAGCAAGGTATGGCATGCTCCCATTGAGCACATGGTGCTTCGGGGGTGGCGATGTGGCACATTCTTGCAGCATCTACCCTGCAAGAGGCTTTCGAAGGACCACTCCACAATCACACTTTCATCATATTTTGCGAACTGGCATGGGCGAATCTGTGCATTTTTTGCCATGCATTCACATGCAATAATTGCTTGTGAATTGCTTGTGACATGTTTACATCAGCCAACTTCAACTTTTATAGCAAATAAAGCTTTTAAGGCTAAAACTAAGCATCTAAAGACATTAAATAAATGCCACCTCCCATTGAAACAGGACTTCAGAATAGCAAAACTAATTGTCGCACGTTGAGAAACTAATCAAACGAATCGAAGCATGCTAAACCTGAACAGCAGCGGTCAATGATCACGGATGACGTGGCTTCACTGTGGCATCAAGTGACTTGTATTTGTTGCGTGGTTCGTCCCACCTGTCGTTCTCAGGGCGAACAGAGACCAGGCCATGATAGGAACAGACACCAGGCCACCAACTGTCACGACAGTGTCCATGAGGCCGAGGTCACTTGAAGGAAGCTGGACATTATCGGCATCAGCACTGTCTGAAAGCTGAACTGTGTGCTGAGCCTTGGGGGCATCATCAACCTGCGACAAAAACCACGCTGTTGCATCACTGCTGTTAGATCTCGCCTGACATCTCCTGAAATTTCCAAGGATCTCTCTTGCCAAGGAAACAACACAAGCAATATTCCTGCACCAAATTGTGGTCTGCACGCAGGTGAAGGCGGTCGAGACAGTCGAAATGCCTTGTACTTAATTCTGCTAGGTGGCTGTCATGTTTGTTGCACACCAGCATGTGAGGCACAACTATCGATGCACCCAAGCCGAGCTTGCGCGAATCAAGACACTCACATCCTTTACACCGCTGCTGGGCTCCAAGTCCTCTGTTTGAGACTCGGCAGCCAAATCTGCCTCCAAAAAGGTGCCCTCGGGTTGTTCCTCTTCCTCCTCTGCTGCAAAAACGCGATCGCCCTCTGGCTCAACTTGGGCAGCAACTTCTTCATACCCATCATATGCAACCTCCTCCTCGACAACCATTTTTCAGTAAGGCTTAGCCAGGGCTCCTCCAGCCTTCAGTTCCACGCTCCTTCCTCCAAGCGCCTTGACGCCTGATTCGGCATCAGTGCTCTCCAGAGCTACAGTGTCCATTTCGACATCTCTTTCAGAGCTTTCGTCCACGGCAACCTCTGTGTAGCCACCTGGATCTTCTGGATCTGAGGCAGCCAACTCATCGGTTAGCTCTTCAGACAGCTTTTCTGTATCCAAACCCACCTCCTCAGCCTTTGGTTCCTCAGCCTCCACTTCCAAGAAGAAGTTCTCTGTCCCCAGCTCCTCTTCCAAATCCAGTGCACTCTCCTCTGCCACATGCTTCTCAGACTTCATGCCCAGTTCCTCAATGCTGTCCTCTGCAGGTTGCTCACTTGTCTCATACGTGGTAAGTTTCGTTCCTGGCACACCACCCTCCACCTCTGTTGCAGCAACTGCATGCAAAACCACCAAGAGAAGGCTGTAGCTCAGTGACTAAGGGAAGCTGGTATTCTGAATTTTGTGCGCTTAGCGTCAATCCGACATCAAGCTCAGAGCCTCCCTCCCACCCCTCGTTAGCATCAATCCTTTCTTCAATTCCAGGATGACTAAGAAACATTACCTAACAATGCCATACAACTTCAAAACAGTTTAAAGGGAAAAATCTACCGAAATTGTGGCGATTGCAGTGATCTAAAAAATGAAGCCATTACAGGCGATGGGTGCAGCCTAAAGCCTGAAAATTGATCCATTCTAGGGACTTCCTCGAAGGCGAAAAGTTTTGAGGGAGGTTTTGCAGCAGTACATGAGCTATCTGCCACTGATCTGGCGTTTTTGCGCATCTTTCCACCTTGTTTTGATTTTAGTGCAATTACATAATCTCTTAGCGTCAATGGCTGCCCCCCACCCCCACCCCCACCCCCACCCCCCACCCCACCCCCCTAACGTCAATTTTGACGCCAAGCATACAAAATTCAAAATGGACCATTTTGAATTTTGTAGACACCAGGTGTCTTCCCCAAGGATTTGTGGCAACTTGTGACAATCTCGACGTGGAGGTTTCAAGGACAAAATACAACTGTGCGCATGTGCACAATACTCTGCTCGCACTGGGTGGTAATAATTGTAATTGAAAGCCATGTATTGGCAAAATTCAGCCCTTGCTACAACAGCTTGTTTGACAAAACATTCCCTTTACATGCACAGGGCGATAGCAGGTGCTTGCACATCATGTTGGCTATTCCCATATTCATGATCTGAGACCGCGCTGACAAGATCGTGGCCACGCCATGGCCAGACCTCTCCGGAGGGCAGCAGTGAAAAATCAACTTGAACCCAATCGAATGGGGGCGAATTCGATCGACGAAACGGCCAGAAACGCACAGGCCGATCGTCTCGCGCCAGTCGCACACAGGGCCTGAGTCCCTCCCTCGAAAGGGACGCTCACTGGGCCTCACAGGTCCTCTCCTCAGTCAGTGAGGAGGCCTGGCTGGCTGCAGCGGCCGTAACCAACACGAGTTACAGACCGAGAGCGGCCTACATTGCCAGCTCATCGGATTATATACAAGTTCGCGTTCATTCTCAGCCACACACACCGCAGAATATGCCTCAGAAGATTCCCTACTATCCCTCTTGTAATGCCTCTTGTTATTCACATCAAAACTTTTCAGCACTTAAAGTCCCATCACCGTACAGCCCCTATGGGCCGTCCAAATCTAACCAAATCCTCCACCTAATGTCCAGTCACCCCATATGTTCCATAGTGTACACATTGGACACTGATTCCCACTAGATTTTTTCACCTAAAGTTCTGTCAAACCCTAGTGCCATCATGTTGCCGCTGCTGGCCTGGAAGATTCCGGATCTGGGGTTCCTAGTACATCATATTCACCATAAAATTTCATAGAAAACGTGGTGCAATATTTCGTCAAGTCCTTTCACTTGAAATGACAGTTAAACAAAGTGTACCACACAGCTCCCGCTCGCTCAACATGTCGCTATCAGTGTATCCATCAAAGCTGACCACATTCACACCGAATCCTACATGGGATCCATGTTCCCATGTGCCCCACGCTGCCATGCCCTCACGGATGGCGGGCAGCACCGGGGGAGACTTTCGGCTTGACCACAAGGGGCCGAGGTCCCTGTTTGGCAAGCCAATTCACCACTTCTACCTTCAGGTCGTCCTTGGCCTTGAGTTCATCGATTTCCCGTTGTCTTTGGTGGAACTCGTCGATGGCTTCGACCAGAGAGGGTGTTGCAACCGCCATAGGAACTGGTCCAAGAAGAATGTCTTCTATCTGACGGGACTCCTGTCGCAGCACCTTCACTTCTTCGTCCATGTCGAAGGCCTCTTTGATCGTCTTGGCTTGGATTCGCTGAGCAAACAGCTCAGCCAAAACCCGCTCCTCTGCCACAATCAGCTTGTTGCGTACGATTGTCTTTGCCCGCCAAAGAACAGGCGTATTCTGCTCCATTCTGACAGACGCTGCCACAATTTCCCTAGCCGCCACCCTCCATGACGGCTCCATTCCTCGGTATGCCATAGACTCAAGTCCGTAAAGGATCTCGAACTTGAGAAACGGTGGGAAGTCTCGTATGTCGAACAACATTTCGAAGGTTGCTGTAGCATCCTTGATAATGTCGCACAACTTCAAGTCTCGGTCAAGGGCAGCGTCCCACTCCTGCAGCAACATTGTTTGCAGATCATTTACCCTCTTCCATTCAACGTCCCACACCGTCCTTCCGTCAGCCAGGATTGTATGCACTCGAATCCCAGGAGTATTCACTCGTTTCTCCTGGAACTCTTCCAGCTTGGACGACAGATCTTTGACATCCTGGGGGGACGGAAACCCCAGGTCCCTTCGCCATGCAAACACGGCCGACGTCCGCCCGTCCAGGCCGTTGTCGTCCAGCGACACAGCCATGGTGGCGCAATCCGCAGAGATCTCGCATGGCATGCCCAAATCCGCGCATATCTCATCACAAACTAACCTATCTCAAGGCTACACTTGACAGCAATCGCCACTATCCCTAAAATACTTTAACCACTGTCTCTTTCCAGCAACACCTAGCCTTTCAGTCCTAAAAACCCTCCAAAGTCCGTCGGAAACAAAGGTTGTTTCTTAGGGTCCACTTATTTTGTTCTTTCTAGGACCCTAGATTTGCCAAAACTTATCAGAAAAACATAAATTTTGTACCATTCAATTGCAAATTAAATTTGCAATTGATCTGTGTCATCAAAACCTTATAATGACCCCATCTAGACCATAATGGGATCCCTGGCCTGACTGCCATCAAACACCCACGTGCCAGGTCGCGTCCAGTCGCCTAGCATACAGGGCGACGTGACAGCGCCCGATTCCTGCCCGATACGTACGTGTATCGCAAATTCCCCCGAGCGCCCCGCTGAGTCAGCGCTCGGCGGTACAGGCGTCCCCCACCACCTCACTCTCCGCACTCCTACCCCCTTGCACCCCCTCCGGCCCACCATCGGGTCGGTGCATTTCCTCGTGGCAGCCTCCGCGAGCAACCCCCCCCGGCAGGGTTGGGCGCAAGGCCCCCCTCCGTAGAATGGCCGGCTCGTTTTTTCCGGAAAGATCCCCCCCCGTTCCGGAAACGCCTCCGGACCACCATCGCCATCCATTCCCGCATCCACCTTCAGGGGGTGCTCTCTCTCGAGCACCCCTCCGTAAGTGTGCTGCCCGGGCAGAAAGGGAACTCTGCCCCTTGCCTCCGGATCCCCCCGGCCACCTCCAAGCAATCCTCTTGGGATTGTCTTCGCCGCCATGCGGCTGCGACCCCCTCCGCGGAGTCCCATGGGTTCCCATGGGTTGAACTGCCCGATCAACGGGCATTGCTCCGATCTTTCGACGCAGGGCCAAACGGCAGGTGCCCCTGATCCATTCGGGTCGGTCGCTTGGCACGCGCGCAGCGTTTTAGCCAGTCGCTGGGCATGCGGGTGGCTGGCGTTGGGTGCAGGCCTCACAGGCCATGGTGCTTCTTGGGTGCTTCCCGCGCAGTGGGTGAATAGCTGGGCGGGTTTACGTGACAGTTGTCCACCTGTCGGCGTACATCCGGGCCCTGACGGCCCCTGTGGGTTCCCTGTAGCCTCATGGTA